TATTTGTTGTCAGCCGACCATCTCACGCTGATGACATGCTGCATACGTTTGGTGTGGTACACCTCCCTGAGGATTGTGGGAAATTACATGTAATGCCAGAAATGTTCTTTATGTATTGAAAGTCTTTGGGATGTGCTAGAGGAGACTTCACAGTGTACTTGACCCTTGTATTGTCAATACAAGAAAGATTTGGACCAAAAACAAAACAAAACATGGAAATAACCAATAAATATGCCACTTTATGAATTAAAGACTTTATAAAAAATAAATCTAATCACTTTCTCCCGACATTATAGATCTCCTCACTCCACTCACCTGCTGTGGCCTTTGTCTTTCTGAAAGATGCGGATAGTTTTGTCAAAGCTGGCGGATACAAACTCCCTTCCAGTAGGTGAATAATCCACATCCAGCACAGCGGACACATGATCCATGTGCACAACCACGGGAACATCCAGATGCCTTATGTCATAAGTATAAAGGCTGTGGAAGAAACAGAAATAGATGACATGATTTATTTACTCTCATTTAATTTTTAATGTAAAGGTTTACACTCAAATGAACTCACTTGTAATCTTCATTGGCGCAGGTAAAGTAATACGCTTCCATTGGGTTCCAGCAAAGTGTGTTGCTTCTCAATTGCATGATAACCTGAAAGTGTCATTTCATAGTAGTCATAAATGGAATTATTCAGCCATGCAGATGAAAAGTAAAAGTTGAGGGTGAAAAGTAAAAACACTGCAGGAGCAGACCTTTCGGAGTGGTGCAGCTTCTCTGGTGTCATACAAGACTATACTTCTGTCTGATGCGCAGCTGGCGAGGAGTTCGGTCTGCAAAGGACAATGGGACAATTTACTGGTGATAAATGAAATTAAAGAAATGTGTGGCATTTGATGTCTAAATTACTCAATAACTTCCATAAACACCTTGGGATGGTAAAACCTCCCTGTTTTGCCTCATAACTCATTTAAATCATTGTGAAAAAATACACTCCTGAGCAAAAAAACTAAAAAATGGGCATGGAAAAAAAAAACGGGCCATGCCCAAAATGGCCTAACACTAAGCTTTTCATTGTCTTAACGACAAATTATTGGTCGGGAAATTAGCAAAACTCAAGCAAACGCATTACTTTAAAAACCACTGATGTCTCAAAATCATCAAAGACTGAATTAAGTTTTTGGCAGAATATGGGAAGTGTGTGTGGGGAGACTTTTAGCTGCTGGTGTTGGTGAGATGCTTCACTGTGAAAAGTCATTTATGAATAATGATGAATCATCAGATGTTGTTCAGCAAGACAATGCTCCAGCCCAAATTACAAAGACAACCAAGAAATGTCTTGAGAACAAGTCCATCAGACTCATGTTTTAGCCTGGTCCGGACTCCGAGTCCAGGTTTGAGCCCTATAGCGAATATTTGGTCTAACATTAAACTCAAACAAACTTGGAAATATTTTTAAACTACCAAAGAACGGGGAACAACACTGACTCTTCCTTCTGTAAAAAACTGTCTGCAAGTTGGGAAGGCTATTCTGTGGCTAAGTTACTTTATCTACAGTATTTTTGAATTCGTGCTTATTTCCTGAGCAATGATTTGTGATTAAGATCTAAAACACCTCTAAATATTTAGCAATTTTATGCTTGGCTGATTTTTTGTCAGGGAGCATATTGTGAAGGTCCACAGATTTAAACTGCAACTAAAGGGGTGGTAAAATGCCCTTTTCAAAAGATGTAAAATAAGTCTTTGATGTCCCCAGAGTGTGTATGTGAAGTTTTAGCTCAAACCACCTCACATATATTTTTATATAGCATGTTAAAATTTTCACTTTTTGAGGGTGAGCATAAATGCACCGCTTTTGTGTCTGTCCCTTTAAATGCAAATGAGCTGCTGATCCAGGCACAGAGGGCGGAGCTACAACAGCTTGCACTCACACAAAATTTCACAAAACTTTTAGCCTTTTATGTTCAAACTGGAGTCCGACAAAGATGTAGACACCATGAATTTATGTAGCTTATGTGTAGTTATCTTCTAGACATTGATGAGCATATTCTGTCTTAATAATCTATAAATCATGTTCCAGGGGCGGAGTTTATGTAAATGTTAGGGTTTGTGATGTCACTAACCTGGGAGGAATGTCATGTACTCCCTACCAGCCGTTTGTTGTAGTCCTTAAAAAGCAATTTGTTAAAAAGCAAGTATCTCCCTTTGCTTTGAACTTTGAGCGTTGTAACTTTGCAGATGTTGTTTATGCTCAAACAGCAACATTACACACTAACTAAAGTCAGAAAAGTGAAATCATAATCACCCACCCCTTTAAGTTGAATTAGTTGCTCACCTCCACAGGGTTGTAGCGGACGCAGCTGAAGCTGTCCACACCCCAGCTGAAGGAGCGGATGGGACTGCTTCTCTGCTCATCCCAGATATCCACAGTCTGCCCACAGGTTGCGAACGTGCCCTCCCTTTGGTGGTGGTCAATGCCAGTGAACACCGCCTGCGAAACACATCAGACCTGTTAGAAGTCTAAAGTACAGAACCTGAAAAGCATGTTTTTTAGGTTATTAAGGGTGGGCAATATACCAGTAGACAATATTAACTGGAAGAAATCAGTTCGTTCTCATGTTACGTTGTTTTAATTATTCTGATTTCTTTTGATTATTTTAATTTCTTTTAAGTAAAGCACTTTGAATTACCATTGTGTATGAAATGTGCTATATAAATAAACTTGCCTTGCCTTGCCTTCCGGAGCACATTTGACTATCAGCAAGAAGCAAGGTTTGTTCTCACACATGTTGGGCTTCTGTTGATCGTCGCTGATCAATGTTTATATGTGAATTAAAGCCTAAATTCAATCTGTTCATTTTATAAAAAAAAAAACATTTAGTCTCTTAAGAACATTTGGACTAAACCGCTCAATTCATATGAATTAGTTTTACGAAAGACTAATTTTGAGTGTGAGACGTGCTCATAAAGCACAGGAGGCGAGTGCTTTTTGCCGCCTACTTAGGCTTAATGGGTTTAATACACATTTGTGTGTCAAAATGACCGTCTTTGCAAGTAAACAGACAACTTTGTTTTAAGTGAACGTAAACAGGTTGAGAAAACGCACAAGTATAGTGGATCCGTGCATTTGGTCTTAAAGTGACAGAAGCCAAATAAACATGCTGTCGTTGTTGTCATTAATGTTAACCGAACAACATTCTTTTTTATATCTCACTGCTCCTGAAATCATTTTTGTAATTTTAATAGGAATAAATGTATATTTAATTTACACAGAGAAGGCAGTGTTTTTTTATACATTTGATTACTTACAATTTAAGCAGCTTCTTTTTTTTTTTCTAGAGCTTGATTTTTTTTTAGGTTGGTCCATTTCATTTGTGTCTTTGTTCTATAGTATTTTTGTTTTTTGACAAGAATTATGGTGTATGTGTGTGTATAAAACACTCAAAAAAAGAAAAGCAAGCCGAAACTGTACCTTCCCCAGAATTGTGTTAATTGGTTCCTCCTGAACTCCATATCCTGGTGCTTCCATGTTCCACTGTTTGATGGTCTTGTCATCTCCTACCTATTTCACAGAATCGCATAAGTGCACAATCACTTACTAACTGGATCGTCTGCTTCTGTATAAATCAGGAAGAACATTGAATATACAAGATGAAAATACCGTGAAAAAGGAGGTGCCACAAAAGCGGGAGCACATTCCTCGTACAAATCCTTCATGAGCCTGGACTGTCCTCATACACTCCCGCTTCGGAAGGTTCCAAACTTTCACCTGTCAGAAAATAATCAAGAATTCACTCATACATCCCAAATTTAGATGGTCATTTGCACAAAAGCAAAGTGTAAGTTCATTCCATGCACCCCTGCTGTTGTTGTTTACTGTATTATTGAATGTTGGGTGTGCACGTTGTTCTTGTATGCTAACTGTAAACATCTTGACAGTACATCCTCAATTAAAGAGGCTAATACCAATGTAAAGGCTTTACCTCCCCATCACAGGCACCAGATAAGACTGTTGAAAGACTTTTGGAGTGTTTGACGATGCAGCTGATGCCATCTCTGTGCCCATCGAGTGAAGCCACAAAGGGTTTGGCAAACACCCTCTCAAGTTTAGTGGCATTCAGGGCTCTGGTATATTCTCTGGGCACCTCAAAAGGATGTAGGGTAGGGTCATAGTTCCTAGGCACTAGATAGGGAACACACTAAATTTAACATACTTTCCTATTACACCACCTTCATATTATCACTTCGTGTTTACATACCTCTCTGTATATCTTTGGTTGTCTCTCGAACATAATCGTCCGGGTTTCTACAAAGCACTTTAACTTTCATCCCACCTTATTATAAGATTAAAACCAAAAAATCTTGACCAGATCTGCACATAGACAGTAAAAGGATCTGCAGCGTTCAGAAAATGTAAGACCATGCGTTTGTATGACGTGGCGCGCACGAAAATGACGTCACACATCCGGGTGCTGCACATGTTGTTTTTAAATACTTATGTCATTTTATTTTTATAAACGTTTGCATTTCATTATTGTTTAACGATATACTCAATTTCACAGAAGCAAACGTGTTTATTCATCATATATTTAAATATTTAACAGAAGTATATATTTATTGTTTTGAAACGACTTCCAAAAAAATACTGGAGGCTGTAGCGGCGTTATCATTTCTGAAGTCTAAAAAAGAAAATTATTATTTTAAAACATTTTATCGAGTGACTATCAATTCATAAATTAAAAGACTACATTTTGTTTCACCAGAGACAACGGCGCTATCACGTGGGACACGTTGTTTTTCTAAGCATTGTATCATGATTGACCAAACAGAGTCGTTTGTTGACAGCAGACTTTAAAAAAAAATACCTTAAATGCATTTTTAAGAGTTTGTTTTCCTTTTTTGTATCAGAAACAAGTACATTAGTGACGAATAGATGAAACTCTATGCTTCTTAGCAAAAAAAAAATCGTGCTTAAAGATGCGACTCAAAGGAGGACTGGCCTTTATTTTTATCCACAATGCGCCCTCTAGAGGCATAACGTTTGTCTTATTGGATCGTCCTTCTCATGAAAGGATATAACGTTTTGATCTATGGTTTTGATATACGAACAAATTCCTGCTCACAAAAAAACAAACAAATGTTTGCGCAGTTGCTTGGACGATCACGTGTTCCATTACGTGCTTCATGAGTGTGTGAGGAGAGTCTGCAGTGAGACTGACTGACACGCGTGTTTTGATCATGGAGATTCTGGGCAGCACTTTTGATGATTCTGTGTTTGAGGAAGCACGGAACAGAGTCTCAGCTGCTCTGCCCACATATGAGCCCAAACTCTGCGAACCTCTGGTGGGTATCACACTCAACACTTACAAGAAACTACTGATACCATAGTACAGACATGGTAACGTCACATATACCTCGCTATTTACATGATATTTTACTTTCACTCTAAGCAGTATTACTACAGTACTATGTGAGAATTTTGATCAGTCATATTTCACAACATTATAATCATGAATTAAAAATGTGATGATGTTACTATATACATTGTTTCTAGTGGTTTTGTGTAGATGGAAATGTCGAGGATGGATTAGAAGAACAGAAATCCTTCAAGTTTCGAGGTGATCTCGCTTACAGGAGGAAACAGTATCAGGTATAAAGAGATGAATTCAGCATTTGCTCTCACTGTTATCTGATTCATGAGCTCATTTGGCATTTGTGTCAATGACAGGTGGCTCTGGATGAGTATGTATCCTGCCTATCTCTGGTACCAGAAGGAAACACATCAGTGAAGAGAGATGTGCTCGAAGGGATCGCACGCTGCTGCTGTCATCTGGGGAAAAAAGAAGAGGCTCTAAATGCCTGTGAAAAACTGGTAAATATATTAAATCACTAACTCCAACTTCTGTTTATCCTTTTGCTGATTTACTGTGTTTTATTGACAGAGGACAGAAGTGTCCAACACCTGCCACCTTACCTGCGTCCTTCAGCTGGAACTGAGTATTCATGATCACTACAGGGAGCTGGCAAACAGCATCTCCTGCCTGCAGCAGCTGTGCTGCCTTCATCCATATCATCCATGGCACTGGCTAAATCTGGCCATGAGCTTGCGGAGACTCCTGGAGTCTGATAACGGTCCAGAGAGATCCAGCACTGAGGAAGAACACGAGAAGCAGCTGGCGACAAATAACATTTTAGCACTGAAGACCATCATGTGCTTGATTAGAACAAGGTACTGTATGTGAACAACAAGAGAACTGGCTGTTTATTTATTGACTTGGATGTTAATAGATGAATTAATTCAGTGCTGAGTTTGTCCATCTTGTGATTTTCGCCAGGCTGCTAATTGAAATCCTGCGGATTCAGCAGTTCTCATTCGTACTGAAGAACAGCCAGAGGGCTCTACAGGACATTGAGGAAGCTCTTCATGCTCTGCAGCCAACAGAGAAAATGATCCAAACAACCTCTGAGGTCAGACAACAATAACCACTTTAATAGAGAGAAAAAAACATTGTGTGTGTTTAAAATATTAGTGAACATATACAGTATATATATATATATATGAAGAGTTCAGATGCAAAAGCCTCTAAGTGCCATTTGAAATTTTCTTCTAAAATGATCATTTTTATCAAGCTTATATATTTAAGTTCAGTGATTTTCCCTTAAATGGCAATGAAGATTACCTATTAATTGTCATTTAAGTGAAATTACTGAACTTAAATATACAAGCTTGATAAAAATGGTAATTTTAGAAGAAAATTTCAATTGGCATTTAGAGGCTTTTGCATCTGAACTCTTCATATATATATGTACACACACACACACACATGCACACATACACATATATATATAAAGCAGACATTAATCCAGTCTTCTGTCAAGTGATTCTTCAGAAATCATTCTAATAAACTGATACTATTTTTTCTATTTTAATCATTTTAGTACAATGACAATATAAGAGGCAATTATTTAACCTTTATTTTTAATTTAGAAAATAAAATGTTGTATTAATAACGTAAGATTTTAAGAAAGTGTCACTCTTCTCCTTTTAAATATGTTTTCTTAATCAACAAAGTGAATTAAACTTATTATTATGCATAAAACACAAGCCAGTTTATTCTCTACATTTATACATATCATAATTCCACATATTACAAAATCCATGGTCTCACATTAGAAACTGATTTTATTTATTCTGATGAAAAACTAGGTGATGGCAGAAGACCTCAATCCGGAGAAGATGAGGGAAGAAAGCCAAGATGGAGAGAGTTTATCTGGCCTTTATATTAAAGACTTTGATGACAGGTGGTGGAATAAACTCCACACTAAACTGCAGACGGCAGCTTGACCCATGCACGGAAAACTGGAGGAGACATATGAATGATATGGATATTGTGATTGTACATTTATAAATCTTTTATTGGAGTTACATGCTTTTACTATTACAAAGCACAATAAAATATCTGCTAATTCATGCAATAAGCACACATACGTATTTACAGCATCACATTGTTTACTAAATCTGAGCATCACAAAACCTGCTCTAGCACCAGTGGGAAGCTTCAGGAACACCTCTGTTGATGTGATTGCCCTCTTTTGGGCGCCAGGTTTGGCTTTTCATATTATAATCTTTGAAGACGGGGGACTGGCAAGCAATGGGATGATGGATTGTGTTCCTCCATGGAAGCCATTGAGATCTTTGTGGTCCAGTGGTGGCACTTGGATAGCTGGTCCGTCTGACCAGGACTGGAGGTGTCGGAAAACTGGGGTTACCGGGATTATGAGGTTTCTGTCGTAGGTGGCCAGCAGTGTTTCTGGGCATTCCTGCTGGCCACGTTGGGATCTGGAGATTCTCAAAGGGCAGGTGGAGATCAGCAGGATTTGATGTGTGCCAGGTAAATCCTAGCACTGGTTTAGAAAGTGCATAGAGTCTGCGAAATTCCAGGTCGAAAGGTTTAACCCCGCTGCCTTTAAAGAGTATGGCCAAGCTTCTGTGAACCTGGCAGGACAGCCAGGTGAGACTGTGACGGGGTTAAAGAGGCAAAATTTGTTTATATTTACAAAATACAATAAAGTTGTTCAGTGAAAAAAATTGACTTTTCTTTATGCTTTTGTCGGTCAAATAAAGGTTCCAGAGAATTAACAAATTAGCAAATGAGAATAGCATGTCACACTGCTGTCACTACTTGAAACATCAATTTCAGTACGTGTATGTTTAGATGGTACCTGTACGAGCCGACCAGCACTTTTGTGCAGTCCACAATGATGAACTTCTCTTTCATTTGTCCAGTGAACTTTCTGCCTGATTTGGCACAATATGTCTCACCTTGAACACTACGAATGGACATTCTCTGTATGAAGATATAAAGACAAAGAGTTAACATGAGCACACTGGATATAAATATAATGAGGTCATCCACTTTTGTTTGTTTTCATTGTAAAGCAATACCAACAGAAAGGTTGCATATTTTCAAAATAAAATTTTGTAACATATCCGCAAGCAAAAACTGCTAAATACCCTTAATGTAGGGGCTCTGGCTAGAACAGAATAACTTACAGTAAGGTGTGACTTGTTGATTTTTACATTTTCACACATGTCCTGAAACAGCTGTAAATTGGTGTGGTCCAGAAGGAGATAGACGTACACATTGCGCTTTCTTGACGCCTCCAGTATGTCGCAGAAAATCTCCACATCGCTGAATGTGTCCATAACTATTGCCAAAACCTGGTATGAGTCAAATTTAAAAAGCAAATGCAATAGTGTGTTTTCAGACTGTTGCATATAAAAAAATATCAGGCACTTTCCCAAATAGAATACAAAATAGGCCCTGAAATTTCCACCCAAACAAATTAAAAGAGTTGTTTAAGCTTTAGAAAATGTTGATGTCAGCTTCAGAACTTCAATGGTTCAAACAACTGAATAATAATGATAAATAATCTTTCGATTTTTGTTATCAAAACATGGGACAATACATTTGAAAATTTTTATTTGTGTTCATTCTACAATTTTCTACCAATAAACCATAATCACGATTAGAAATTCATAATGTATAATACATTTATTAAAGGGTTAGTTTGTCCAAAAATCAAAAATGGTGTCATTATTTTCATTAATTACTCACCCTTATCTCTTTTCAAATCTTTAAGAGATTTCGTTCACCTTCAGAACACAAATGAAGATATTTTTTGATGAAATCTGAGAGCGTTTTGTCCCTCCATTGACTATTAGAATCCCAGATTAGGTAGTAAAGACATTATAAAAGAAATTCATGTGTCTCCAGTGGTTCACCCTCAATTTCATGTAGTGACGCAAGAGCTTTGTTTGCGCACTTTATTTATAAAAATATCAATCGCGACGTAAGGTTCTTCAGCGGTTTTTTGCAGTGATCATGGTGCTATATATAGCACCACTACCATTTAAAGAACATGTTAAGCCCAGTTTGGTTCTTCAGCGGTTCTTCAGTGGTTCTCTGTGGTGGTTAACGAGCTCTATGGCACCTCTTATGGTTCTACATAGCACCATATGACAAAGATGCACTTAAAGTGGTTCCCCTATGATTACAAGCCAATGAACCAGTTTTAGTGCTATTTAGAGTGTAGGTCTTGAAGGTGGTAGATGTAAAGGCTGTCAATGGAGGGACAAAAAGCTCTCAGATTTCATTAAAAAGATCTACATTTGTTTTCTGAGGATGAACGAAACTCTTACAGGTTTGGAACAACATGAAGGTGAGCAATTGATGACAGAATTGTCATTGTTGAGTGAACTAACCCTTTATTTTTGTGACGCAAGGAAGATTCACAATGCAATTACACATAGTACGTTTAGTATATTAGTGGCGCAAATTTCATGTTTTTAATGTTTGTTTTCCATCATATTAATGTTTAATTAACATTTGAAACAATAATGACAGTTTATAATCCAAAAATGTCACGATCAAATGACAGGTTCTTACTGTAGTCGCTTGCCGGATGAGTTCCCGCAGCAGGTCTTTCATGGAAGAGGATTTCACTGACTGGAAGAACACTTCCACACTAGGAATCCCTTGCAGATGGTAACTCCAGTCAGCCACCGGCCAGCCGTAGTCAAGAACTGGCGGCTCACTCTCTGTGGCTGCAGGAAAGTATGTCTCCGAAGAAACTGATGGAGAACTAGACACCTCTTCGTCCCGGTCTGCCTCTTCCTCGTCACTGAGAGGCTTTTTAATGTTGTTTAAGATATATGTTTTCTCCTCCGCAGACAGAAAGTTTGCTTCATTCTCTTTGATCAGCACTTCCTGGTATCCATCTAGCCCTTTGTCCAGGAGAGCATCCATAGCCAGTCGTGTGCTTTCATTGTGACTCAGATCCACGTTAGACACCTGAGCGTTTGGGTTTCTCATCTCCTGAACTCTTCTTCTCATTTTTCCCATCAGCTTCAGCTTCAGGTAGCACTGCACAGACAATCCATTACTTTCAAGGTTCATTTTGATCACAAACCAATCCTCAACTGCCAGGTGACTGGTTGACTCTACTTTTTAGTCATCATTCGTGCTTCACAAAGCTAAATATTTTTCCATTCAGGTGATCTTCAAGGTGATCATCAAATGTTCACAAATTATCCTGCGAGATATTCATGCACTGTGAGTCTTTTCATCAGCATTGCACGGCACAATGAGCATTTCTGAACCAATTTGTCATCTATTCATGATCGCTGAGTTTAAATGTGAACGTTAGTGCTGCCCTAATGCTCTGTGGAAAGTGGTTTGTGGCTCCTCCTCAGATAAAAGCCAGCTAGTAGCCGTGTTCACAGACAGATTCACCCGCAGGCTTCGGTGGGTGGGGTCGTGACTCGTGTGGTTAACAGGTGAGGTGTTGAGTGAATAATGAGCCAGAAGTTCCCATATTTTCCATCACAAAAATGAAATGGCATGAGTGGCAGGGATGGAGATAGGGCTGTCAGATTCAATTCACCCATGCTTCACTAGAGGAACCAATCGACCTGTTCTTGTTTTCTTGACTCGACTTGCACAACGGCTTTGTAGATAAAGCATCATTTAAAAAAGTCATTCTAAACCCCAAACCCCAAATATAAAACTTCAGCTTACATTATCCCACACCATTTGTGCTACATACATAAATGACACCTCACCATGTTGCTTATTGGAGAAAAGGGCATTACTATTTATGATCAGATTTGCGGTTGAACTAAAATAAAATAAAATATAAAATAGGCAAAAGAAACCCAATATCACAAGAGACAGGTTTTACGTGGGCTTTTACATTTTACAAGTTTTACAAACCTGACATTTTTAAAATAATATCATGAATGGGGAAGAAAAAATAAATCCCATGCACTCCTGTAGCTTGCCATTTACAAAATTTACAGCATTGCCTAATTGCATTAACTAGTGTACGATTTTGCAAATCTGGTAGTGCGCAGGATTTTGTCCAAAAATAATAATCTGAGTAAATTAAAATAAATATATTTAAAATATATGCCTGAACAAAATACTTTAGGAAAATATGATTAGCCTGAGAAAGAATAGGGTGGTTCTCATTTAGGGTTGAAAATATGTTTGGAGAGTGGCACTGGTTAAACAAACAAAAAAAAACTCCAAAAAATAAAACATGCGTGAGCATGGGAATATAGTTCTTTGTTTTTAATCTTTCATTTCTAAAAAAATATATATATATTATTTATTTACATAAATTTGCAAGAATCCGATCTTTTCCAGAAAACATCTCCATCCAGTTGCTTTGATACATATCTAGCAAGAGCGACTTTCTTATGACTTGCAAAAGCTGAATTCAATGTCTCTTTTAGCTTGGGTAAGTCCAAGGTTTCTGGATGATGAGCAGACACCAGAAACAAGCTCTGCTGGAGACCCAGTTTACCCAAGACTACCTCACTCCATTGCCTCACTTCCACGACAGACTTTTCCTCAATCAAGTCCGCCATGGAAACCACCAGGTAACACTTTTTCCCCAGGGAGGACGCTTGCTGCAACAACTGAATGGCTCCCAATCTAAGCCTTGAAGGAGAAACCAGTATGTATACATCACACAAAGCAAGCAGAGATGCTTCTTGTTGAGCTTCAGAAGAGCTGGACGCAGAGGACAGACTTTCAAGATCACTTATTCTTCCAAGCCCAGGAAGGTCCCAAAGACGGACGTTGGGGGACTCAAGGTAGGGATACTCCACAGCCTCTTTGGTGATTTCAATGACACCAGTTGAGGCAGCTCGTTCATCACCGTTCTCCAGGCCCAAAAGGGCATTGACCAGGCTGGAGCTACCACAGCCCGTCTCACCCAGTACACCGATATCCAGGCGGAAGTGATCGAGAGCTGCAAGGATTGCCTGAAGCTTGGAGGGATTGTCTGTAAGATCTCTCGGCTGTGAGAGCTTGGAGATCTGATCAAGATCATCCTGGTTTATCTTCCTGTACTTCAAAGCAGTAGAAACTATAGGCCTGAGAAGCAAATGTAGTGAATTTGTTAGATAAGAGACATGTGAAGTGTAGACACAGAATTTGTTAGATAAATGTAAATATTCATAAACAAAGAATTTTTCATGCTAGTTCAGACTGTCTGATGCCAGTTAGAGCTTGTTTACAACAAAAGTAAACTGGTGGACCAACACAGATTTAGGTACACAGCAAGGTAACTATCAAATTAAACAAGTTAATCAGCCTAGTAAGGACACAAGCACACAAGCAGCCCATGTTTGAAATGGATGTCCAGATTTTTCTTTTTCTTTTTTTATAAAGCACTTTTAACACAACTCATGGTTGACCTAAAGTGCTGCGCAATACAACTAAAATCTGAGAAATACAAAAGAACACAAAACAACACAAACATGGTTAAAAGCTATTGATATTAGGGGCTTTAACTATTTTAACTTATTAGGTGAAGAAGTTCTAACCAAAATTGGAAAATTATTCCATAGACTAGGACATGGAACAACAGTGAAGGCTCAATCACCTCTGAAGTGGAGCCTAGGACTAGGAAAGAAAAGGCCAAGATTGCAGGATCTCAAGGACCTTTTTGGTTTATGGATGGAAATTTCTTCTAATAGATAAGACAGTGCTTGATTATGTAGAGATTTAAAAACAAAGATAAGCAAAGAAAAAAATTCTAAATTTAATTGGTAGCTAATTTAGCACGACGAAAATGGGCGAAATGTGATCAGTCTTCATCTGCCATCAGCGTTTTGAACCATAGATGCCATCTGAACATTGCAGTTGCAGGTCAGTTTGCGTGCAAGTTTTTGACCAACGTTGTTCACTTTTGATGTCATCTCTAGCTCGAAATTACTTTTGTAGTAATGAAATATTCGCTTAGTTATCACCAAAGCTATTTCTATTTTGCTGAAGATCATTAAACAGATACCCTCCGAAACCAGTTTCATGGACAAAAGCTGCCTGCAAAGTCATTGTCTTATAGGACAGCGAGGCAAAAGGCACTGCTACAAGTTTCAGACGGAGCCGTTGTGTCCTCTGGAGATCGCATTTGCAGTGAGGTTTCATTTTAAACAAGTAATTATTTTAAAATTGACTGCTATTCTTTCCGATGTGTACATTACTGTCAATTCTTTCTTACTTTGAAATGTAATGGTTGCTTTTCTGAAATGAGGCACCAGGACTTCTACTAGAAACTCTCAGGCAGGTGAAAGACATCAGCCTTTCAGGAACAGAACTGGACAACCCCTGGGTTAGGTTATTGTTAGGTTTGGATTAGAGGTAGGGATTGGGTTATACTTTATTTTTTGACAGGATTATTGTTCCAGGACTAACTAAAACATCGTTTCTAGAACAACCTTCAAGACAACCAATTCGATTTTACGGTTAGGTTTAGAGCTAATGTCATAGTACGCCATTTTTATCATCCTATCTTTAACCTCTAGTTTAAGGGTCGGGTTATGGATAGGTTTGGATTAGAATTTATCTTTTTGTTCCACGACCAATAAAACATTGAAAATCAATTTGTGTCGCATGACAACATCAAACATTTCAAAACACAAGGAAGTTGACTTACGGTGTGTCATCAGTCAGCAATTTAGGAAACCGAAGTTCCTTTGTAATCGCCACCAGAAACTGACTAAACGCTTTCCTCCGAAGGTCAGGCAGGGCTTCAGCAAGCACCCCGGCGATATCCTTCATCATCACTAATTCTGGATCTTGGGAGGCGTCAGAATGACTCTGGCTATCTGTTGAATCAGCAGATGCATCTCCAATGGAATCTCCAAATGCATCTTTCCTTCTCTTCTGCAACTCCAGTTTGCGAGCTCTCATTCGCTCCCAGGCGCAGGTCATGCACGGCCCTGTAGGCTTCTCCTCAACTACGTCCCAGTCCTGCTCAGCTTGAACCAGAAAAAGAGACTGATGTCTGTCATGCAATTCCATTTTGAGCCACATGTGGTCCTCCTTGTGCCGTTCTGTAGTGAGCACGACCAGAACATCGTAGCATGTGGAGTCATACTGCTGGTTTGTCTGCTTAATAACGGAATTTGAAGTTGGATGGCCCTGCACGGTCCATACACGAACATTTGGTATTTGATGGTGTAAAATCACAGTGTTGACATCAGGATTGCCACTCCCAATATATTCTGTATGCTCTGATATCCGTACATGTTTTCTCCTGCTGCTCTGGTGGTTAGTGTTTAACTTTATTCTACGTTCATCATCTACACTTTCATCATCTTCCCAGTCTTCATCTGCTTCTTCCTCATCTGTTTCTTCTTCCTCTTCATCATCAGTATCCCATTCCTCCTCTTCAATTTCCTCATCCGGCCCACAGATTGCAGAAACCAGCCTAGCGTTAGCCTCCTGGGTTCCTCCGGTCACAGCTATATCTAAAGGGAAACGCTCAAACAGTCGTAGAGCCGCTACCAGCCTATTTTCAAATCCAGGTGCCCTGAAGGAAAACCTCCATGGGGCAAGCAAATATTTCACTTTTTCATTTGGAAGTTTTTCATCCATCTTCAATTTTACCCTGAAAAAAAAAAAACATTTCATAATATAGCTTACATTAGCTACACGTTGTACCTACTGCTAAAATCGATGGTATACAGGCCTAATGAATGAATTTGACAAAATGGTCAACAGAACATAATACAGTATTCAACTCACCTGTTCTCGAACAATAAAGAGCAGCGAAAGCGCGTCCTCGGTCCTTAAGTCCTCATGGATGCGTGTGTTTGCAGGACAGTCAGCTGTGCTAAAGTCAACACTTTGTTTGACAAGGTTTCAAGGCGACATTGTAAACAGTTCTCAGGGCGTTTAAGTTTGCTAAAGCATCCAAGCACACTTAACTCTAATTAACCCATTTATTCCCAAAGATTCTTAACAGAAGTTTTAGAAATTCGGACTGATTTTTCAGTTTAAAACCTAGCATTTATAGACCAAAGTTCCAGGAGAGGTAGAATTCACAACACTGTAAAAAATGTTTTCAAGATTTGTTATCACAACATATTTTCTTTTGTCAAATCAACTTTATAATAATTTATTTAGTTGAGATAACTTATTATTTTGAGTTTCTGATGATTAAATTAATCTCCTTCATTGTATTAACTCACTTTTTCCAGTTCAATCAACTTAAAATTTTAAGGCAACCAGGTTACTTACTTTTTTAAGTTAAACCAACAATTTTTTTTTTACAGTGAACCCCACCACAGAATTTCAAGTCTTTAAAACTCTAAACCTTATATGTCACCCTTAAAGCTAATTATTTACCAGATTTGTGCTTTTTTGGGGAAAATGTGAGTGATGTTTGCCCATGCAAATGTCGCCACCATTATGCTAATGTTGTTAATGTTTTTTAAGCACATTCCTAAAAAAAGTGTTTTAAGCATTTTAGCACATTGTTAGCCAGATGCACTGTTAAGGTGCGTTCCATTCACAGGGTATTTCGCCATCTTAAGTGAGATTCCAATTCGAAGGGAACGAACATGTTCAGTTCGAAGTGCACTGCAAACGGCATAGGGAATAAGGGAACATCGATACATCACTTCACAGGAAGTCAGTGAAGTCCACTTCAACTGATATACCGTGTTTAGGGAGTAGGGAGCGGTGAACACAGGGACCCTGTCGAATGGAACGCACCTTTGGTGTTTTGATTGCTTCAGTATGTTGCTATGACGTTCTGTCAGTATGTTGCTATGACGTTCTGTGATGGTTGCTTACTGGCTCAAGTCAAACAAAACCATTTTCAAATCTTAACCATGCTTTGGTCCATTTGATATCTTTAGTTTGTTCAATGCTATGTATGAGAAATATTTACAGACATACTATTGATGAAATGAAAAATATTGTGGCATTTACTGTATGAATGCACATTTTATGCTGTTCGGTGTGAGAATCCAGCAGGGGTCAGCATTTTCTTCTTGTGTACAAAAGCAACTTGTTATGTAAATTGACATTATACAAATATAGCACTCCAAGGTACACAAAGTAGGATTTTAATTAAACAAAAATTTTCATCCAGTGTAATATACAAATATCTCTCTCTCTCTCTATATATATATATATATATATATATATTATCTAGGTCAGTATGTGGATTTTATCTAGGATGTTTAGATTTAAATCCTACTTTGATGGCTTAGAGACTTTTATTTTTGTATTTAAATTAATAAATTATTTCAATATTTGTAATTATTTTATTTTGTAATTAAATATTTATCCAAAAGCGTACCAAAGTACCTCCCTTTATCCAAAGCGTACCAAAGTACCCCTATTTGCTTGCTTTGTTCATATGTAAATTTAGATGTTTTTGGAAGTAGACACACTCCTAGATTATTTTTGAACAATTTCAATTAAATGACATTTGAAATAACAAAGTACTTGATGACGAAAACACAGGGAGTGACGTTGCCCATCCCATCTTATGAGACACAACAGATCACAAGTAGGTTTGACGTCATGAACGTGTCCACAAAAGTCATTGAAGCGAATACTAGCAGGTAGAGGAAAAGCAGGTGCAATCTCAGCCTGGAACAGGTGGGTCCTATTACTTATAGCTACTTATTTCTAGTTGTTTATTTTTACTTAGCTTTGGCTTATATGTTTGTTTTGGATTATTTATTATCAATTATATAGTGCATAATTAGTGTTAAAGAACTGTTTTAAAATCAATAAATTTCACAAAGCAAAAAATAAATCTAAATGTTGCATTTTTATAGTATATATTAGTTAAGATCAAATATATGAAAAACTTTTTAGACATGTATCATGTATGGCATCGTATTCTTGGAAATACCATGTAAATAGCAGGGTATACATTAATATGTTATTGCAATTGGTATTTGATAGATCACAAAACACTTAATTTAATAATTTATGCACAAATACTTTCAAACTAAAAGTAGAACTAGAGTCTAAATAGAACTTTAAAGTCAGAACTTTTGCATGATCAAAAGAACTCTGAAATCAAAATAAAACCAATTTTTTGCCATATTTTTTCAGGATATTAAATAGGGACAGTGCTAAATGTTTAACCCCAACTCATAACCTTGAGTCTTTTCCTTGTGCTGGATGTCCATCCTCACCATTATTTTCTTTTTCGTCAGGAGAGAAACAGAGAAACACTGTAGCCATGGGAAAAGGAGCCTTGACATGTTTGATGATTTTAGTCATTGTCTTGAATGCAATCGCCGCTGTAAGTCTGAAAGAAAATAAAAAGGTATGTTAATGTTGTACAATATCTTGCTCCCCATACTTTTAAGTATTTTCTTCTTCAGGCAGCTGGACTGGCATTATTCGCAGTGGCCATTTGGGTAGCAGTGGATGCGTATAAACTCTACCCCATATCTGCTGTCTCAGGAAAAGATGACATCTTTGCTGCAGCCTGGATTGCCATTTTTACCGGCTTTGCTTTCTTCCTCACATGCATCTTTGGCATCTTCGCTGCCCTGAAAAGGAGCCGTGTACTCATTATGGTGGTAGGTTTTTAACAGAAGTCTTTGAAAAAGACAGCATCCTACCATTTTACCTTCAGTGAAACAACCATATTATTTAGATTTTAACCAACTGCTGTTAACTTTCATCCTCCCACAGTACCTGATCATAATGTTCATCATCTTTTTGTTCGAAAGCGCTTCCGCCATCACAGCAGCGACCAACCGAGATTATGTGAGTATTGTAAAAGTAAAACAAAATAAAATCATTTACATGTCAAAGATGTGGCACATTTAGACCAGGGATCTTGGGACCAAGGTTCAATTCTGGTCTAGGTCGCGTCTCATTCCTGCTCTCTCTTCCTACACATCTGCTGTTTGTACACCATCTTGAAAAATCCCATTAAAAGCTTCTCATTGTGTTGATCTAATGTGATAATCTTGTTAAATGGAAAAACAGCATGTTCATAAAGGAGAGAATGTTGCATTCCCTTTCTTCAATTTCTCTTTTCTTTATTCTAGCTGGTTGGGAACAGTAACCTTGTAAAGAAACAGATGCTGCAATATTACGCAGAAAACAGCATACAAGGGAAAGATATTACACAGACATGGAACAGAGTGATGGAACAGGTAAGCAGAACACCTAAGACCTCTTGACTTTTCAATGAACATGACCACCTGTCAGCTGTCAAAGGGTTGTGGCTAAAACAGAAGCACACAGTATTAGGGAAGGAACGGGTTGAATCATCTTCAACTCAGACCTGATACAACATGCCTTTCTGTTGCCTCAGATTAAATCATGATAGTGGGAAAACCAGTTTTATCCTCCAATAAACTTGAAAGAATAGGCAAACAGACTCATAATATAATGTGTTGCTAGTCTCAAATAACTCAATAAATGACAGTGATTTTACCACAAGAAATAGAGGCTGAGGGAGAGGGAGTCGTGGTTCACTCTCAGAAAAGGGGTACAAAAGCTGTCAAAAGTACTAATCTCTTTCTGAGAGACAAGTTTCCAGTTCATGTCAAGTTTAGGCTTAGCTACAACCAGGGTTAGGTGCTTCCACAATATTGTTAATCACATATTGTTTAAGTTATGCGCAGGCTTATAGTTTTAGGGAAGGTAGGGTTAGCTCAACTGCATTTTTTTGACAGGAATGTTGCTCCAAGATCAACAAAATTGTACTTGTCAAAATCAGAGTGATTGTTGTTTTTAACAACCATAACTGAGGTAAAGTCCTAATATTTTTTTACTTTTTCTTCAAATAATAGGCTTAAAGGACTAGTTCACTTTTTGAAAAGCAACATTTCGTGAGCAAAAAAAGGCCTCATTTCAGTCAAAAGTTGAATTATACAGATCACATTCAAACTTTCAAAACGTTTCAAGTCATTTAGTGCTACAAACCAAAGCAGCATTCTGTTGATTAACGTGAATTCACTAACTTGATAGATTAATATAGAATTCAACTGAAGCACATAATCATATAACTGGTGTTTTTTTTTCTACTCCTACCTCAAGGCCGAGTGCTGTGGAACAGACGGTCCGACGGACTGGTTAGAATTTAACTCTACTTTCAAACAGACATTTTCCACAATATACCCCTTTTCCTGGCCGCCCAACTGCTGCAAGAGACTGATTAACTTTGATGTGGCAGATCTAGAAGGCTGTACCGTTGGCAAGAGCAGCGCCATGTACACAAAGGTACGTAAAGGCCAGTTTACACCAACGGTAACTATAACTAACGTTATAGCGTCCAAACCAGCGGACGATATCGTTCGGTTTATTCTGAGCGCGTGCTTGTCTGTTACTTTAAATGCTCGAGCTCGTTACAGCAGGATATGGATTCTGATTGGTTGTTTGTTTAAATTTTTTATCGTTCATCAGCTGGATAAAGTCGTTCTGAATGTGATTCTAACGAACGTTTCTCTGTACCGTTATCGTTATAGCTTTGGTGTGAACTCTGCTGTTAATATTGAGAACGATTTTTAGTACTATAATAACGTCAATCGTTATCGTCCTTGGTGTGAACGGGCCCTAAAATAGTCTTGTAACATGTCACCTGCTTTACTAAAGACAACAGGCAGCAACATAGCATTAAATATGACCTGCAGGAATAGAATTTACAACTTTCATTAGACTTGACAGTGGTTCTGTAGTGTCACAAGTTAAGGAAGTCTAATCATTTTCAAATTCAAATAATTTAAATTTAAACGCAAATAGAGGTTTATAAAAAGAGATTTTAAAAAATCTTATAATTAATCTTATTAAAAATGTTGTATTGTGTTGGGCTTATGTAGATCATGTTAAGATTTAGTTGTTTTGTTTATAGAAAAAAAAGCAGGTTTTGCTACTGGCTCACTTAGCCTATTATAAAATGTCCCATGAATCACAGGACATTTTATGAGCCAGCTGTGAGCAATGTGGAATGACATCTTTATTTTCAGTACATCTGTCCGATTCTATGGCCTCACTTTATGTTAGGCCTAGCCTATTCAGGGTTGCTTCGATGTAATTTTTGTTTTTTATTTGATATTTCAGGGATGCTTCCAGTACATTGAATCCGTGTTAAGTCGTTACACCTGGGCTGTGAGCTGGTACGGTTTCGCAGTTCTCATGTTTGTGGTAAGTCATACAGTATAACAATTCTTTTTCTAAATGACCTCTATACATTCACACAGGACATGCTATTGTTTAAAACATCTAGATGAAACACAAGGGTCTTTGGCTGCATTTTTAAAGTTCAAACTGCTTTGAAAGTTTGACAGGGAAAAAATGGACATCACAAGATGGTGATGTTCAATGGGAATGAAACAAACAATATATTGACTTTTATGTCTATTGCATGATTTACCATTTATTTTTAGGATTATCTTAGTTTGGGTGATTCAATGTTGATATATGAATGTATTGATTTTGCTATATTATATTTTGATTATTTATTCTGTCCATTAGTTGCAATATCTTACTGGATATTCAGTCATCTAATGCACTTTTGATCTGTCCTACAGTTTTTCACATTAGTGATCACCATGATCTACTACATGCAGCTGGACTAATTGTAGGAATCTACATGTGCCACACAGATGCTTCCACTCATGGCGTCATAGAAAAATACAGATGATTGCACATAATAAATAAAAGTACCCTGCAGCATTTTTGTTTCCTCATCATGCATGCGGTTTTATGACCTTTTATAATTTGTACATTTAAAATTATGTATTTGTCACATAAGGGATGTTCCAGGTTTAAACCAAATGAATCTTGATTAAAAGCATTTTTGGCTAAATGGCAATAATGCTGAATTTTTAAAAACTTTAATTGAGGGAGCATCATCTTTAAGCTACCATATAAAGATTTTTTTGTTTCTATAATTTTCTAAGCAACTGATTCAAATATATAATTGATTTCCATTTAATTATGGAGTAGTTTTTATGAGATCATTTAAAACCTTTATTAATAATATTAATCGGTAACACTTTACAATAAGGTTTCATTAGTTAAAATAAACTTATAATGAACTCTACTTCTACAGTATTTATTCATCTTTGTTAATGTTAATTTAATAATTTAAAAATACTTTATTAAAAAAATACAAAAAAGATTAATAAATACTGTAACAAATGTATTTATCAGTTAGTTAATGTTAGTAAACACATTAACTAAAATTAAAGTGAACATGAAAACTTATTTTAAATCAAATGACTATCAATTAATCAATTTCCCTTTATGCCACAGTCTATAGATTTAATATAAAATTTGCTTTAAAATGTCTATAGACCAATGAATAGGACATTGTTTTAAATTATATATGATCTGTTTTTAAAACATACATAATGTTTCTGTTTATCAAATGAACATGTTACTGTGCTGGTGACTCTTCATGTGTCGTTCACTGTCTGTAATCGGAAAAGGGTAAATGATCGCAGCAAAAATGGCCACAGGTTGCATGCAGGTACATGCCCTAGGAAATAAACCAAGCAAGAATGAAAAGACAACAAAAGCCTGGCAGCTCTCCACACCCTGAACCACCCAAACCGTTATTGCTCAGGCTAATTATCTAATGCCAATATTTTCTACATGCATCAATAGAAAACAGAGGAGGGAATGTTAGCTTGCATATGTCTGTTTTAATTTATACTCAACTGGGAGTGTCGCCCGATACTCAGATACAGACTGGTTTTGCAGGATTTCCATCAAGTAAAGAGCTTAACTTCTCTCATATTACCTCCTACAAAGACACTATCATCTTAGAGGGTGTAGACTGCAGCACTACAAGCCCTGAGAATTAAAATAATCTCAAAATAACAAAACCTAGAAAGAACACACCTTGTTAGCAAATGCATCAGCCTCAGAAGCATCCAGGTCTGCTTCAACAATAGGAATGTTATTTAGTCAAGTAATTGTCATCACAATGTCACTTAGCAAGGTTATTTAAGAAAAAAAATGCAATAAGTACCAGGATCACTAAAAAAAAAAAAAAAAAAACTACAACCTGCATTCCAATGAGTTTTTTTTTTTGTAATACGAGTACTTGGATAATGCCTCCTCTTACCTGTGTACAAAAATATTCTGTTAAAATAATAAATCACCAAACTCATCAATAACGGGTGTCCAAGGTTTTAATTCACATATTTGAAAATTATACAAAATAGAATGAACTGCCTTTAGCAAAGTGCTAAAGACTGAAGGGGAGATTGTTGGACATGAACAGTTTAACCTCAAAGCCACATGCATGACCTCTCTCACTGGAACATACACGCTGACAGGTCTGCTGACATACATAGGTAGCATTAATATTTTTAGTGTTGTTTTTTTTTTTTTTAAGGAACGATATATCCCCCTTGGTTATTCACTGCATAGATATGTATTAAAACAACGGAGATAACAGACATGCAAACACACCGTATCATACTCTCAGTCATACACACTATCTTTCTCATTTAGACCTTGTATACTCAGGACTTGCCGGTGCGGAGCTTTGGAAAACTAAATTGAAGCAACAGGGCTCAGGACCAAGTTTGTATCCAACTCATCAACATTTGCTTTCATAATGAAGGATTATTTAAAAGAAGATCGATTATTTAACAAAAGGCACTAATTACAAATTAATTCTATATAGAATCCACCTCTGTCAAATTTTAGAAGAATTTCCAGGACTAAAAAAAAATACTATAGTACTTCCTAAAAAACACCGGAACAGTACCGAGCCTAGATAGTGGTATCTTTTATAGTCATCTAAGTCTAGTGTTGTGGGCATTGAATGAATTTTCTGTGTTTTGTGGTGAATAGTACCAGTTATTCTATGTTGCTAGGTTAGGATTTCTCCTTCAAAGAAACCCAGGGATGTCTGGGAGTGTCACAGGGTGACGTGACCTACCTGAAATACTTGCTTTGGATTAGAACACCAATATTTATACAAAATCATCTGACGCATTACTGGAGAATGAGCCGTACAGTACCTCACAGAAATATGCACCTTTCCCAAAAATATCAGCAATTACCGTTCCTTTTTATGTGCTTAATGTCAGACACTCATTCAAGACACACTCATTCAAATTCACACACACTAAAAAAAAAAACTTAAAAACAACAAAAAAGTCCTTACCTTTACATTCTTTGAAACAAATCAATAAAGGCAAAATAAAACTATTTCACATTAACTCTTTCCAATGAAAACTTACAATAACTTAGAAACATCAACAAAAAAAAGCAATTAAAAAAATGGAAATATCACATTGCCGCCAAAAATAAAGATAACAAAAAACATCTTCATAAAGTTTCATAAAACCACTAGCTTGAGGTTATTTTTTATCGTACTTTGAGGAGGAAGAAAGACATTAAGCTTGTGCCCCTGTACAGAATGATCTAGTGTCAAAAAGAACCTTAAACCAGACCAAAAAAAAAGCAAAAAAACAAAAATTAGCCACACTGAGCAACGTCCTGTCAGAGGAATAGCAGCTATGCACCTCTCTGACTCCCTCTGCTGGACAGCACAGTGTGTTCTGGAATGTTTTCATATCTAAGCCACTTTATGGTTCACTTCTTTGATACTTTCTGCTTTATGTCTTATTCTCGTACGCTTTTTCCACTCCAATATGCACTCTAATTGCAGGACAGCAGTGGGTTTTTTTCTGAGACAGAAACACCAGTAAAGACATACGTACCCCACTTAATTTTGTTTCTGTACACTTCTTTCACAACATGTTAACCTGTACAGTAAACATAAAAGTCTAGTGCTTATACTGGTTTACGTCATATTATCCTATTTTAAGTCTAAAGACAGGACTTTTTGTGGCAGTTGTGCTCTTTAGCAATAACTACGGGTCTGGCCTTCAGTTCGGATGGTCCAATTGGGCCCCGGCAGGCTTCCCTGCCGGTTTAAGCCTCTCTGGTTTCGCAACCCCGGAGGTCGGAGAGACGGATCCAGGACAACATCTCGTCGTGGTGTATTGGGATATTGGGGAAGCACTGACCCTGACTGGTACGGGTATTGGTTGGCCACTGTCTGGGGCCCGTATCCTCTTGCTGAACCAAGCGCTAAGTTAGAGAAGGCCACTGTAGGTGGAGTGCATGTGTGGGAAGCTTCTGGGAGGCCTTGAGGGCCCCAATTATGGTGTGGGGGGTCCTGATAATACGGTCTTGGGGGATAAGGATTAGGGTTTGTGCTTTCTCCCTGCGAGACTGGGACAAAGTCTTGGCTCCTGTAAAACTTAAGGACTTGGTCACCAGATGGCATGACATCAAAAGCTTGTCTATACTGGCCTCCAGAAGATCTTCGCAAGGGGTCTTGACGTTGGAAAGGTCCAGATCCATCTCTAGGTGGCATTTGACTTTCAAAATGCCCACGAGAGGGTCCTGGTGTGTAGATATTGTATGCAGGTGGTGGTTGTTGCGGCTGGCTAGGGTAGGGATTTGGAGGGTGCTCGATGTGTGGAGAAGAGGACGAAGAAGAAGGCGCAGAAGGACCCTCTCTTTCATCCTCTGCTAGCTTTTCAATTAGTAAGGAGGCTATTTCCTTCCCAGATAGGACATTAACAGGCTCTGAGCTGATACTTTGGGGATCTGAGCGGCTACGGAAATGCATGGCAGTGGAGGCCGACGCTGCTATATTGGTCTCTTTGGAATCTGAGGATACATCGTTGTGGGCAAGGTTGTCGAAGCTAACTGTGGGACTTTCATGCTCTGAAAGTTTCTGCTTGTCTTCTGGTTGAGACTTGGAAGGTAGTTCCAGTGTCTCCGATGCTTGATGATCATTTTCGTCAAGGTTTGTGGTGGCCCAGCTCTTTGAATTAACCCCAGATCCTTGTGGGTTTGTGAAAGGATAGTTGACGTAGATGGGCTCAGGCTGATCTTTCGTGATTCCTTGCACCGGGGAAGTCTGAGGTGGTTTCAAAACCGATTGCTGATGCAGTAGTATGTCTTCCGGCCTGGAAGCCTCAAAGTACCGGTAACACACCTTCCCATTTTCAAAGTAGGGGTGAAGCTGGGAGGCAGTGTGGTCTGCAGAAGGCGAACGCTGGGGCCGATGCACGCTACGTTGGTGAACGGACAGAGGCATTATGCCTGCAGAGGAGCCCACGACACCGGATGCAGGTAAGGGATGTATTTCACTGCGGGGCAACCTGACAGATGATGATGTCTGTCGCTGAGGACGAGGGTGGGGAGGATGTCCGGATGATCCGTCATGGGAGCGATGGTGAGAATGGGAAAAGGAGAAAGAGTGAGAATGTGCTGCGGCCCAAGCTCGTGTGGCCTCAGATGACCACAGCTGGGGAGCCCTACTGCCCACAGGTCCTTGGGGGTTGTAGGGAGGAGGGTAACCCCTGGAAATAGGCCTTTGATTGGCTGGGTCAGTGAGACGAAGGTTTCCCTCCAGATCCAGCTTCATGTTCTGATAGCTGTGGCGTGCATAGCTGGGTGGCACTTTTGGATGCTCAGGTGCACCAATCTCATAGTAGAAGTTCTCCATCTTGGATGGGTCTTCAGAGGGGACAACAGTTCTGATCTGAGTGGACTGAGTCTGTTGCTGCTGTTGTTGGGGAAGGTGTGCAACCTGGACAGCTTGGCTGGCCATTCTGGCAGCATGATAGCGAGACAGCATGTCAGAGGTACTGCTAATGCGCTCAGAGAAAGCTCTGGAAAGTGGTGTGTTTCCTTGGGGAGCCCCTGCCAAGCGTCGAATGCGACTGGCATCCAATGAGCGACGCATGTAATCATGCCGGTCAGTCTGAGAGAGTGGAGCCCTCAAGGGAGCAAGATCAGGGGGCTTGGGTGGCACTTTAGGGCGGGTGGGCTGGAAGGCTCGTACCTGGGCCAGTGGAGAGCTCTCGGATTTGGAGTGCAGGAGCTGAGTGTGTGGCTGGGCTGCAGGCTTGGGCTGGCCAGTGGATTTATCCTGCTGAAGCTGTGGTGCAGAAAACTGCCGCCCATATGCTGGGGGTTTTCTCTGAGAAAGGATAGCTTCGCTAGAGGAGGGTGGGCTGGATTTTGAGGGTTGTGCTGAAGAAGTTGGCTCTTCGTTCTTGTAAATGGGGCTTGGGCTTCGCTCATTGTCCTCAGAGGAACTGGCAACTGACAACTCAGAATTAGATGTCCCAGAATCAGAGACTGAGCTGTCAGAAGAGAGAGTTCCAGAGTCCTGTCCAGGTTGTGACCTTGGATCTGTACCATGTGATTTGTCTGCAAGCTTTTCAGCAGCAGTTCCACCATCATCGTCACCCTCAGTCTTCCACACAGACAAGGGGCGCACCGTGGAGTAGATCTGATTAGAATCAGAAGACAGTAGAGCTCCTGCATCAGCAGAGAGGGACCTCTGGAGGCGGATGTCTGTCTCAGGGGAGGTTCCACTCTGACGGGGGCGGTATGGGGGAGAGGCACCTTGCCGCAGTGCCTTGTTGGCACTTTCAGCCAGAGCCAGAGCCATGAGGCGTGCTGGGTTCTTGGGGGGAGGAGGAGGGGGCTGCTGGGATGGAAGGGGAACACCAGTGGGACCAAAGATACCTGAAAAAAGGGAGAATAAGGAATTGCGAAATAAGTGGTTACTTTAATCAATGGGCTCTATGCACGGCGGTATTTCCGGTGAAGGTGTAAGGATGCTCGATAACTTCGGCCGATCATAGAGTCCAATGCAATACCGAGAATTTATATTGAATTTTATACTCCATGGTTATACTAAAGAAACGTTAGTCACAAAAACAGATAAAACAGACACCCCTCGTTGTGTTTATGCTTCTTTTTACAATTATATTAAATAAACATAACTATATATAAAATTAGATCTAAACGTATGTACGTTTCGTTTCAAAGACGGGAGGACAGTCAATTTTGAAGACTCTGCCATAATCCCGTTTTCCTACGCTTAAATCTCCACAACCGGAAATGGACGAGCATCCTTGCGTCAAATGCGGAACTTATGCGTGCATATAGCCCATTATTTATTTTTAACATTAAAACAGAGGTTCCCAAACTTGGGGTGCACAAGAAAATTATGGCCGAAAGTTCTCTCATAAATGTACAGAAATGGGCAATTTTTCAGAAATTCAATCAATTGGATTTTTTTTTAAAGACTTGGCCTGTCTGCCTAGTTCTTTACACTCTTCATAAAGGGAACATACGAATGGCAATGTAAAACTATCTTGGTACTTGACAAAAGTCAAAGGGTGTGCAGTCTGAACAGTTTGGGACCCACTGCATTATGCCATTATCAGAGTGTATACTCACTAGGACCCTTGATCTTGGCGATGGGGCCCAACTTACTGTTGAGCTCTTGCTGGCAGCTCTCTGTAAGCTGAAAGTCACATGACCTCAGGAGCATAGATATCATCTGGGGTGGCTGAGACGGTCCACTGCTTGGAGGTCCAGGTTGCAATTCGCCAGCTCGTCCACCAATCATTTCCAGAACCTTGAAATTTAAAATGGTTCACTTATAGATCACTGCACATTAAACTGGGATAGGAGTCATCTACAAAAGTATTAGTTCAAATAATTTTACATACACAACAAAATCAACAAAAGATTTCACCTTGGCAGGTACACTGATGGAGATTGGATCAGAGATGTCCATAGGGGGGGATTTAGGCGCTTTGGATGAAAGTGCATGAACCACTTTACGTGTAAAGGAACGCCTCTCTTGAGGGGGCTGAGAAGGGGGTGAAGAGGCCGCTGGAGCTGGCGTCTGGCTATGGGATGGGCTTAGGTTTGACTCACCCTGCTGGGTTGTGCTTGCGGGAGCATTAGTAACTGCAGACGGCCTGTGTTGACAGAACACCTGCTGAGGCGGAGCTGCTGCAGCCAGGATCAAACTCCGACGGGCTGCAGCCTCTGATTGGTTGAGAACCGAGTCTGGATCTTCTGTGATTGAGCGCTGGCTACCAGAGCGGGTGTGGCCTTGATGGCTCAGACAACGGTATGGAGGGGGTGCAGCTGCAGGAGGGGACTCCCTGCCGCTAGGAGCGACGGCTGTGCTCCCTAACCCTATTGGCCCATCTTCCAGGAAGGTGGGGCTAAAGTCAATGACATCCTCTGCCATCCAGGAGGTGGAGGGTTCCTTGGAGAAATCAGGCAACATGTACACACCTTCCTCATCCTCTTCCTCTTCATTTTCTTCCTCATCGGCATCACGCATTTCCTCAGGCAGCAGGCTGTCGTAAGAGCGGCTCGGATGGATTCTAGATGGGGAGTGCTGAGGAAGGAGCTGCGGATCAACCGAAGCGGCCAGAGAGAGACCATCACTGCTGGAGCGAGGTCTTCGTAAGCGTTGCATCTTCCCCTGACCTGAGATAAAAACAGAGCATCATATATCACTATTACTTTTCAAGAGTGTATGTATGTATATATACATACAGTATATCCAATATTATAATTTACACACACACACACACACACACATTTGATGAATATAATTCTTTGATGTATAGAAAGTTTATAAGAACGCCTGATCAATTTTAATGCATGCTTGCTGAATAAAAGTGTTAATTTCTGATTAACTGATCCCAAACTTTTGAACAGTATATTCACACAATTTCATAAGAATAATGAAAAATAAAAATGTGTCATCTTATTAAAGGATTAGTTCACTTTTGAAAAAACTTTTGCTAATAATTTACTCACCCCCATGTCATCCAAGATGTCCATGTCTTTCTTTCCTCAGTCGAAAAGAAATTAAGGTTTTTGATGAAAACATTCCAGGATTTTTCTCCTTATAATGGACTTCCATGGGAACCAGGTCCAACCGAGGTCCAAACGACAGTTATAACAGTTACAGATGCAGCTTCAAATGTCTTTAAACGACACCAGACGATGAATAAGGGTCTTATCATGCGAAACGATCGGATATTTCAAAGCTTATTCCAAAAATGAAACTTTTCTAAGGACAAATGCTAGCCTTGTAATATATTAAGAGGCGCGTTTGCAACGTCACGTAATACGTAATTACGTTCAAAAGGTCACGGGCGACGTAGCCGGAAGTACAGAATCAAAATCGTCCGACATCGTTGTTTTACCTTTTAATTCCTTTTCTGTAAACGGCGTATGAGTTAGTTTTCACGTTCAACCTATGCGTTCAACTTTTAAACACCTCGGTTGTTCTCTGACTCTTCTGGCTACGTCGCCCGTGACCTTTTGAACGTAATTACGTATTACGTGACGTTGCAAACGCGCCTCACAGAACGGAGCAAGGCTAGCATTTGTCCTTAGAAAAGTTACATTTTTGGAATAAGCTTTGAAATATCCGATCGTTTCGCATGATAAGACCCTTATTCATCGTCTGGTGTCGTTTAAAGACATTTGAAGCTGCATCTGAAACTGTTATTAACTGTCGTTTGGACCTCGGTTGGACCTGGTTCCCATGGAAGTCCATTATAAGGAGAAAAATCCTGGAATGTTTTCATCAAAAACCTTAATTTCTTTTCGACTGAGGAAAGAAAGACATGGACATCTTGGATGACATGGGGGTGAGTAAATTATCAGCAAAAGTTTTTTCAAAAGTGAACTAATCCTTTAAACTGCTCCCTGAAAATTGATTGGTCAACCAGGCTATTAAAGAATTACCAAATGTCATTCATACCTGCTCCACTGTGCTGAGAGGACAGGGACTCCTCACTCTTTGCTGACCTGAGCGTCACACTGTCGACCCTGCAACCTAAAGTAGACATACAACACTAAAAACTGAGCCATTTTCCTCTGACATCAGGAAATGCAGATCTAATTATGATAAAGTACAATCTAAAGAAATTAGCTTGATGTCTTTTATACCTGCATGAGAGGTAGTGGGCTGGAATAGAGAGGTGATCCTGGTGGGTTTACGCCGACCTGCCGCTGCAGGTTTTCCGATGGCAAAAAACGTCTTCCAGCTCCCGCCTGCTGACTTCCGGACCTTCATCCCTCTTTTCCTCCTTAAAGAAACACGAAAGAGGAATTTAAATAATTTAATTAATAGGTTAACCAATCCTTTGTAAGTCATTGATTTGTGCAAAAAAACCCCACTTGTCTGCAGGCAGGTCCAGTACAGTGTGAAACTGGCCGAGAGCGTGGTGAGGAGACCCCTGAAGGAGAAGAGGAGCTTGTGTGCGAGCCTGTGCTTCCTCCAGAGACAGAAGCCTGGTAGACGCAAACGACTTGGGCCTGGTCAGAGACTGTCGTGCTGTGGAGTGAAAGAGACAAACAGAAGAAAAATATTCAGATCCAGCAAGCCAACGGACATATGCGAGTTAATGCAGTAATGCAGCGAAGAGCACAGCGATTGACAACAAACAAACATGAAATAACATGATGCATGGCAAACGACAAGACATCAAAGCTTCAACAAAAAACATCAGCTCCTCCAACACTTCCGTAGTCTGTACAGCTCTACTGCAACAAGCTTTGTAGGAGAAATACGGGCGGGCCAACAGACAAAATTTAGAGTGGTAAAGGCCAGAAACAAACTACGCAAGTACACAAATGCACACTTTGCCGGTGCTTAGTAAAACTTAACATGCAATCTTGCAATACTGTCTTGAGTCAAGTAATGCAAGTGATAACGCCTCTTGTGGCAGTGTTGAGAATGCAGTATAACTGCGCTTGTGTTTGTGTACTTGCATAGTGTTTTGGGCCTCAGCAAGCCTGTAAAGTCTGGGACATCAGACGAGAAGAGGAATCCGGAACAAAGCCTCCAAAAGTTTTTGACATACAGAAAAATACCTAAATGTCACTTTACCTGCTGTAACTGTCTCAGAGTCGAGTCCTCACAAACAGATACTCTTTTCACTCAAATTTTCACTATCCATCCATTCATTCCATTCACCCATCTTACCAAATGATTTTCCTCAATTTCCTACTTAATGAAAACCAAATTTACATAGTAGAAAAGAGCAATTAGTAAAACCATAAGCTTAATATTCATACTTTGTTCTACAAAATTAATGGATATTTGTCAACAAAAGGAATTTATTGCCTTATATCTAATCTGTGTGCTGTACAATTTTAACATCTCATTTACATAGGCGAAATGTGATTTTACAGATCCTTGAGCATAAACAATGGTCATAAAATAATCCATCCATGTGGAAAATGACATTGCTAATGGCATACGCTACCGTTCTAAAGTTTGATGTTGGTGAGATTTTTGAAAGAAAAATGTAAAAGAATTTCAAAGAACTGCATTTATTTGAAACAATAATTATAATTTCTACATTTTTAAAAGACACCTTTGAACAATTCGGTGTCCTTGCCACATAAAAGTATGAATCCTTTTGAACAGTAGTGTAAACACACAGTCATGTTGAATAGGACAAAAAAAAAAGTGAGCATATATAGTATCGTTTGGATCCCAGCTGGAAAAAAAGATTTACATTTCCAGCTGTAGCTAGCTAGATGGTTGATCAGTTGGTCTAAAAGCAGATAAACCTGCTTTGTACCTGTAAGACTAACTTGAACCAGCAACAAACCAAATACCATATTCCAAGCTGAGACATTCTCACAGGACACATTATGTTTCTCTTTGATGGACATCCAGGAACAAATGTCTTGCTGTCTTACTAATTTTTCAGAAAGAGTAAATGGAAGGTAATACACCTATAAAGCTGTGTTCAGTTAGCTTTTTTTAATTCAAAACGTTCCTAGGTATATCCTAGGTTTGACCAGATTGTGAATTGAGTGTGTCAGAGAGTCAGAGTCTGGATCTCATATCACGGAGAAGCGTCGTAGGTCAGGGTCCAGATAAGAGGGGTCAGTCAAACAGGACTCCCCCCTCGCCTCTTGAAGACTAACCAGGCGTGTTCGGGGCTGGCGCGAGATCTTGTGCTCCGCCCCTCTTGTTGCTATGGAAACACACAGCTCTCTCTCAGTAAGCCTTAGTTACACATGAGTGAGTCAGGCCACTGTAAATATGATCAACTTTGTTATGTTAGCCAAGTTCATCACTATAGAACAATTTATCAAATCACATGTATAGTAGGGCTGGGAGACGTTAAATAATCACAATTAATTTGCAATCATGTTGAAGGAAACAAGGTTTCCATCTCCTCCTTTTCCTGCAATTTGCAAATATGTGAGAATTATGACTGATTTTAATACGTTCTCGGATTTAAACCTCCCTAAAATTGCATGTGTGTTTGGAAGTCTTCAGATCTTTCATTAACAGTATAACGCTGCGACAGTATTTTAAAATTCTTTTTATCCCCAAGCAAAGGACGGGGGAAAAAACTTTGCTGTGAGTACATCACAAAATGAATCTTCACTAACTTAGTTTCTCCACTCTCCCTTTCACTTCTTAACTTTGATGTTTACTGTGCATCTATACAGGCCTATAAGGTTCGCAACTTCATTAAAACAATATTTGAATTTCATAACCTTAGACCTATTGCTTATTTCAAGTGTCCTAGGAACAGCATAAAAGGGCATTGTGGGTTGAGTGAGCGGACTGAGCGACAGAAAGGCGCTCTCAGCTCCAGAGGAAATACTACCGCTCCGCTCACATGCTCTGGTTTGAAGACACCGGACTGAATGAGTGGTTTACTGATGAGTGTGAACATCTATGGTGGAAAACAAATGTGTTCTCTTCTGGTTCAACATACCTGCATTGAAACGTCCAACAGAAGTGAAAGAGTCACTGAACAGAACTTCCACATTGCTGAGCAGAAACTCCACAACCACGGACTGAATACGCACTTCTTTAAACGGATCAGCGCCGCTTAAGCCTGCTGCCTCAATTTCTTTGGACCTGACACAGAACAACAGTAGATTTAGACAAAAGAGGTTTAATTTGAACCCTCAGCCTGTACAAGGAAAAGCTACAACAAAAAGCAGTGAGGATTTCAGTAATGGATCATATGTTTGATGTAGAGCCAGACCGATATATCGGCTGGCCGATATTAGGCAGTTATAATACGGACGAAACATGCTTCAATCATCTCTCCTTGGCCTGTTATATTGAAAATGTATGTTTTACTTTGTTTAAATTATGGCTCATCATAGAATAGCTAACCACAAAGCTAGCGAATGCCACCATCATCAGTGGAAGACTGCTAACGTCAACATTAATGAGCTTGGAAACCACAATGAACTTTTTCTGCCTAAATAATGTAATGATTACTGTATGTATAACTAGCATATCTCTAGTTACAATCCCTGCATTGTAAAATGTATGTTAGACTTGCGAGGAGTGAACATTTAGACATCAAACGTATCTTGTGCAGAAAAGTTAGTTTTTCTTTTACACGTGTGTGAAATCCAACAATATTTAACAAAAAGAAAAAAAAAAAAACATCGGCCGATATATCGGAATAAATATATCAGATTTAACGGTATCGGCCTTCAAAATCCTTTATCAGTCGGGCTCTAGTTTGATGTAATGAAAGTAATTCAGTAATGACCATAGATTTATAAATTTCAATGTGTTCAGTTCAACAGAAAAAATTATTAGGACAAAAACAATACACACTGATAATTTTGATAGGGGTGCACCAAAATGAAAATTCTGGGCCGAAACAAAAAAGTTTTTAAATGAGATTAGGCATCAAATTATTAGACCTATAAATCTATAAATTCACAGTAGAAATATATATATATATATATATATATATTATATATATATATATATATATATATATATATATATTATATATATATATATATTATAAGAAAACTTTAAAAGTTACAAATTATATTATATTACTACTGCTTAGAAATGAACAAACAAACAATATAATTTGAAAAACAATCCAAAAAACAATACAAAAAATATTGATTTGAGCACAAACTATTTTAGTATTTGAGGAAAAAGGAGACCCTTTTTATCTCAGATTTAAAACTAGTACAACTGCCTGGTACAGTTGTAAGTAATACACATATTATACTAAAATATCTGACAGCAGAATGCTGTGAGTGACCAATAAGAATCAAATATCAAAGATAGCCATTACATTAACTGTTTCCAATATCAACCTAACCATGGCTATGCTAATAGATATAAATAAATAAATAAATGAGCAAACAAACAAACAAATAAAATACTACTAATGGCCATTATGGATATCGTCACATACATTGTGCATTGCTAATATTTAGATTAAATTTTACATACCTGAGCAGGTTGGGTGCCCAGACGATGGCCAGATTCTTAATGTGCATGTTAGTCTCTCCACTGCAGGTGGCCAACCCGGACAGATGTTTGATCAGGTACTCCAAAGTGCTGAGAGACAAGTTAAAACATCCCTTATTGTCAGAAAACTGCTCTTTCGGTCACACTTCAGTTTCACATCAATGTCAATAACAGGTGACACAACTTGAACATGTAGTAAGTATTGGGGTTACCGGTAGTGAGGAGGAGGAAGTTGCTGGATAACATCATGCACTTTCACCATTCTCTCTTCATCGGTCATCTCTCCCATACATTCCTGGTCAGATAGAAAGATACAGCTCGCTTATTAACTTTAAAACATTACTGGAAGTTTAGTTCAGTAAGATTCTTATGTTTTTGAAAGAAGTCTCTTATGTTCACCACAGTGGCATTTATTTGATCAATAAAACAGTAATATTGTAAAATATATTAATTTAAAATAATTTTGAAAAGTCTTTCATTTCAAAATGCATTTTTAATACAAAAATGTACTATATACAAAATGTATTTTAATACATTTTAAGCATCATTACTACAGTCTTCAGTGTCACATGATCCTTTAGAAATCATTCTCACTTGCTGATTTGATGGTCAAGAAACATCTCTTATTATTATCAATGTTGAAAACACTTTTGCTTCTAAATATTTTTGTGGAATCCATTATACATTTTTTAAAACGCAGTTCATTATTGTGTCCAACTGTTTCCAAGAATTATTATCTGAAAACAAGAAAAATATCTTCGGCTTTGATGACCGTGATATTAACATGGTTGAAGGGTTTTGAAACCCTCGTTTTGCAGAATTACTTACAGCAAACTTGTCGTAGAGTTGGTACGTGAGGAGAGGATTGGGCAGCTCTCTGAAGTAGAGTTTGCACAGTGAGCCAACACAGTGAATATCCTGCATGTACACATCTTTCGTCAGGTCCGGAACATTTTCACTGTCGAACTCGTGCCTGATTGGGATGAGAAGCAAGAGAATAACATGTCATGGTCATGCATATAAAGAAAACATGAATTAATTACCCTTTAAATATCGTTTTAAGTGTAGACATAATTAGTCCGTGACGACCTTTATATAAACTTCCAGAGTAAAGTATGAACAGACACACCTGAGTTTTTGTATGTTGGAGGACACACCAGAGTGTCTGTAGATCCCATCCACCACACCATGCTTCTCTATGAACTCTGAGCAGCTCTTTAGGACCTGCGGCACTGAAGTTTGACCACAAAGATATCACTACATGTAAAAATGACACTTTCAAAAAGGTTCCCATGCATCCCTTTTACAGCACATAAAGGAAATAATCTGTTTCTGTACCGTCTTGACCAGAGTTGAGGAGATGCTCGCCGAGATCGCAGCCGAACACTCGTTCTTTCAGGATTCCCCTCTGCTTTAGCTTTTGTTTGGTGGGTCTGGACTTCATGAAGGTGCGCAGGAAGCCCATCAGCTTGCCATGTTTCTTGGACACTGCCAAAAGGGGGCGACAGAGAGCTAATCAGGCAATTGAAAATGTAGACAGCACAATTTCACACTACAGAACAGATCATTGCTCCCTTCACACACTCAGTGGGGAATATCTTTAAAACATACAAAAATGTGTTCATTTGGGATACCCTTCAAAGACTGACAACATTTGAGGTGCACAGGAGAGGGGTTTTGAGTATGACATCATAAAAAAAATCACTTTTATTATGAAAGAAACTATCGAATAAATCCAAGTGTATTTATGGAAAATCTATCAATATATACATTTTAATTATAATATTTATAAAAAAAATTATATACTCAAAACCTCTACATTTAGTTACATGACATTTTCGATGTTTAATATGTAATTAAATGCGAATGGAAATCTCTAAAGCGATTAGTAACAATTCCCGAGGTGCATTAGGTTGAATAAAATGCTACATTTTCTATTCACCATGTTTTTTTCATTCAGTGCCTTATGCACTCCCAATTATTCAGAATTTTATTAAAGTTGGCTGAAACCTGTGAACTTGGCAAAGCACTAACAACAGGTGACTGGAACGTATACAACAAATCTGAACATTTCTGCAGCTTTTGCTTCACGAGAGCACTCTGACCCCTAGAAAGAAGAAAACCACACCACAAACACCTACACAAAAGCCAACCAGTCAACTCTATTCTATGAAGTCCATAACTCCTGCAGGCTGCGTTTCATTTGTATAGATCAGTCATAGGTCTAAAAACCATATCACTGCAAGTAGGACTACGCGATATACTATAGATTAGTGGTTCTCAACATTTTTGAATTCACATTTCAAAACTGATTATTTTATAATTTTATAAAATAGTACATAATAAACTTTATTTATTTTTTATTTATTTACAGAAACTAGGAATGGTATAATATTAAAATGAATAAAATAATTTTTGCAGCCATAATTTAGACATCAGTTAAGGTCACCATCTAAAAAGCAGCACTTTTAGGAATGTATCATCAACATGCCGAGGACATCTCTAGGACATCTTGTGACGACGAGTGAAATTACATTTTGTTTTTATCTAATCGTGTGCACTGCTTGTCACTGGAATCTTGTTGCATCATGCCTGGTTAGGACACATTGTTAAAAAAGTTCGATTTGACATGGAGCAAGCACAATCAAAATCAATCCTCACAGCCCACAAACAGCTTCTCATTTATACAACAAGCAGTCTGCAATTCATCAACAGATGCTAGAGCAGGGGTCAGCAACCCATGGTAATAGCTGGCACATGAGCAAAAGCAAGAGGTGTAGCCTATGCATTTCATTCCGAACCTGCAAACAGATCTACATTTTAAGTGTAATTTAATCATTTTAATCATTCCTCATAGTAACACAGCTTGATATTTATTTAAATAGAAGTTATAAATAGTATTAAAGTGTGAGAATTTATTAAACTGCGCACGCAAGTCAATGAAAGTGTGCAGCTCTGATAAACCATTAGCATGACCACTGCACATCACACACTCAAGTTGACTGACAGCGCACAGCTTGTTCCACTGTACATAGCAATGCTATACATTAGAGCCCGACCGATAAAGGATTTTGAAGGCCGATACCGATACAAATATTTTTGGGTTTTAAAAATCCGATATATCGGCCGATATTTTATTTATTTATTTTTTAAACTGGACATGATAGTCACAAATTTTGTCATGCTTATTTGAGATAAGAGAACCGATGGGGATGTTCTTTTAATTGTTATTCAAGCAATGTTATCCAACAGGAACGGTGTAGAGTGCCCTCTGGTGGACAAACTATACAACTCCAACACTCATGACATGTTTCAAGCGTGTTTCGTCCGTTTTTATTTTATTTTTGAAATATTCATTTATCAGCCATTATAACTGCCGATACCGATAGTTTGGAAAATGCCTAATATCGGCCGATAATATCGGTCTGCCGATATATCGGTCTGGCTCTACTATACATTCATGATATTCAACCAAGTATATGTAATCCTATTGAGCACAATGATTGACTGAGACTTAAGAATGGCACTTTATGACAAAAAGGTTGCCAAACCCTGATAGCCACATGAATGAATTATACAACATTTTTGCTGTCTTCACCATCCAACACCCAAGCTCACCCTCTCCAAACCACCCACACTTTCTCTGCTGTATAAACAACCACAATCTGTGCTCCAAACCCTAGGTATCTCAGAGGATAGAAGGCGTTAGAAAAAGACGGATATGGAAATGTTAGTTTAGGTAAATTCACTGAAGTTGTTACCAGCCAGGCTTAGGAACCAAGGATGAAGAACTGAGAGAAAAAGAAGGAAACACAATCGACAGAAACATCAAATCCATCTTTAGTGCAAGTGTTATTATAAACTAATATATTCACTGTTAAGCATGTCATGATGCTGCTGTGATGTACAGAAGACTATCCAACAGCCTTAAAATCTTACACACAAATTTGTGACAAATAATAACATAGGCATTGTTTTGACTACAGTGGCTTTCAATGCCATAAAAACAACCTTAAAAACAGAAGCCGTGCCACCAAAGGCTACAATATTATCTGTGCTAGAACATCAAGTAACCAAAGCATGTCTTTTTTGAAAAAAACAAAAAAAAAACAAAAAAAAAACAACTAGGGCTGGGCGATATATATCACCTATTCACCAATAGTGGTTCACCAATACCAATACTATTCACCAATACCAGGATGGCTGATATACACACACACATTGGGGGCAGAAATATAAATAATTAAATAAATGAATACTTTCATTCATTGAGGCTGTTGAAAAACTAGCTTCGCCATTACAGGAATAAATTACATAGGGTGTATTCAAGCTTTTGACTGGTTGTGTATATATTTTATACCACAGGGTTGAATGCTTGCTTGTGATTGGTTGACAATAATTGACAATATTTTCCAGTAAATGCACAGCTAAAGTAGTTTCAGTAGTTTCTCGATTGCAGTTCAGTTCGATATGGATATACTTCACCGAATTGCAGCCTACCACAGCAAAAGAACCAAAAAACACAAACACATTGAAATCAATGACAAACAATACTATAAATAAAACAATTTATTTTATTATGTACTGTATGGAAAGCATGCTCTAGCTCTGCTCTTTCTCCCTCCCATGCACACAGTTAGTCCCAAATGGCACATTTCAAGTTCACTTGCCATTTTGTGGACTTACAATGGCCGGCACTTACGTCCAGAAGACTGTAGGGTGACCCATTTGTCATTTTAGGTTTGAGCCTTTGCAGTCGATATGCGCCCTTGATGCGCAGACTTCTACCCGACACTTAAATCGGCAGTACATCACAAAGGTGCAGACTTGGAGGAAGATCGCAAGGGCTTACATTTGGGACAGGGCCTTACAATCGCTCTCATACACAAAAACTTGTCAGTCCTTGTCAACTTGTCAACCATGACTTTCTCAATAAAACTTCTGAGTTTTTTTCCCACTGAAAAGCTATAGTATGTAACATTTCTCAGTAGCGGGGTTGTAATGTCATTTTTAAGTAGTTTACAACTAACAGCAGCACGGACTCGGGTAATTCACACACACACACACTTAATGTCTCTAAATCTCTAAGGCTCAATCCTCCATTACTAGTTCTAAAAAGGACAAAAACCTGAAAAATGTCTTGAGGCGCAGTAACAGTAGATGCGAAATAATTGATTCATAAAATAATAATGCACAAAGAGGTGGTAATGCATGCACATTTAAACATTTAAAGGCATTTAAACTCGTAATGAAATTAAAATACATTTTATCAATTTTCTAAACGCATGTTAAAGATCTTATTTTAAATTGAACAAAAAAATGGAACTTCTGCATGGATGAACTGTTCAAAATATCATAACTGGACCTTCCAATGAAACGGCAGACTTCTCTCTAGTGACGTATGCAGGACTTCTTCAGTCATTTAATTCGCTTAAACCCACACCTGCAAGCTCACCTTCATCTGCCTCCACTTTTGAGTGCAATGTACATCTCAAAATCCAAACAACCAACAAATCCATAGAACCAAGTCCCCGTTCTTTTTCAATAATTCGTTAAGCTCGGATGTACGTCAGCATATTGAAGAATAGATTTGTCGCTTCTCCCGTGTCGTTGCGCCTGTAATACTATGCCCAGCCCTAATTGCAACTACTAAAAAGTAAAAAAAATTACTTAACCATACCTGATGTTGGAGAGGAAGGCCCAGTCGTGTTGGTAACACCAGGTTTGGAGCTCGAATGATCCACCTCTGAAACAGAAGAACAGACAATGAAGATTGGCTAAAGGATGTGTATTGAAGCATTGATCAAGCAGCAAGAAGTAAAGATCAGAAATGACAGTACATTTCTCAATTAATTTTGCTAAAGGGACTTTAAATGGCATTTTTAATTCCAGTACCCTCCTGATCTCTAGATAAAAGACTGTGCATTGTACCTTGCTTACTGACAGGAGCACTGACAGACTGCTGCAACTTCTCATTGATTAATTCCACACATTCACTGGGAAAGAAGCCAACCTGAGGAAAAGAGAGGGGAAACACTGAGCTCAAAGATGCCAGTGTTACAGAAGATGGCCCATATCAAGTCCTGAGGTTTAGACTGGTACCTGGAATCCATGTTTTCCTCTCCACCACGTGGTGTCCTCTTTGGGTGGCATGTCAATCACTGACAAAATATCACCAACCTTTAGAAAGAGGAACAAAGTTACATACACGCGATTAACATGCAAACTGACAGACGCATCTAGTAAGAGAAATATGCAAATTACTTGTGAACCAAGGGTGTCAAAAAAAAACTCTTAAAACATATATCAGCATATACCAGGATGATGACTGAGATCATATTTGTTGCATGCTGAAATACACTTTGACCCAAATTTTAAAAAGAGGAAGGGGGAAAAAATATCAGTTTCTATCTTACACTAGAGAGCAGAAAGAGAAAGAATCAAGCCTGAGAAGAGAGAAAACAGAAAAAGTATAAAGAAGAAACTAAAGAAGGGAAAGTTTGTCAAGATAAATTTTGATGTTGCCTAAATGTTTAAAAAAAAAAAAAAAAAAAGACAGACAGTCACAGCATGTTAAAATGCTTGAAGTGGTAGCTAGGGCATTTCTAAGTGGCTTTTAAGTTGTTCTAGGTAGGTGCCAAGGCATTGCTAGGTGTTTGCAAGATTTAAGCGTGGATGCTAGGGCTTTCGACAGACATAATACAGCGTTACTAAGTAGATGTTAAGGTGACTGCTAGGTTGTTGCTAAGGCTTTACTAGGTGGTTTTAAAGGGTTGCTAGACCATTCAACAGACTCAAAAGCTGCTTTTCCACTGTCGGGCCGAACAGTTATAACAACGCTTGAGCCTGGTTCGGCACGGCACGATTACAAACCGTTTTTGGCCTGGAATAGGCTTTATGCACAACTTACTTCCGCATTCTCTGTAAAACAGGTCGAATCGCTTCCGGTCCAGGTCTTTTGTATGTTTTTCATGAAATTTTTTGCGGTTTTACTCAAGATAACTTAAAAGGAGCGAGCAAAGATTAGCATAAACAATATCCCTCACATGTGCAGATTAATATTTAAACGTTTTATATTTTTTATTCTTCACAGTAACGTTTAGATATTTAAATGGAATAAAACGCCAATAACAAAGTGAACTAGTTAGGTTAGCTGATTACCTTAAATATCCATAGATATCGTAGTCAGTTCTTACGGCCGTTAACACTTTCTCTGACAAGCGGATGCGATGAGACCCGTTTTCCGGTTTGGTCACGTGACGCACGGCATAAAGCCTATTCTTAGCTAACTGTGCTAGTAGAATGCGTGAAGTGAAGACAGATAAATTAAGCATTGCTAAGGTGCTTGGATTGGTTGCTAGGACGTTTCTAGGGTGGCTGTTAGGTTGTTCTGAGTGGTTCCTAAGGCCGTGTGTCCACCAAAGCGTTTTTTCTACGCGCCTGGCTTATGTTTTCAATTGTTTTCAATGGGAGCGGCGCGGTTTTTAAACGCCATGAGCGTACCGAGGCGCTGAGCGTTTTTTTCACGCTGAAGCGCCGAGAACCCAGCGTTTTTACTGGTCGCTGGGAGTTGAAAAATTTTCAACTTTGGATAAAACGCAGCGCTCATCACTGTCATTTTTTACCCAGCCGTCCAATCACAGTGGAGGAGGGGCGGGACTAATACCACACCGACCAACTGTCACAACATTCAAACTGCTGCGGATATTCTGTATCATAGCAACGAAACGTCTCAACGGAAAAAACGCTGCGCTGCCAAAACGCTCATGCGCCCAAAGCACAGCATCTTCAGCAGAGCGTCTAGCGTTTTCAGCTGGCTAAAAACGCTTTGGTGGACACACGGCCTAAGGCTTTGCTAGGTAGTTGAAGGGATTCAGAGAGATTGCTAGTGTATGAGAGATTTGAAGAATCGGAAGAGACATAAATACAAGGTCCTTGGCATGGTAGCTAAGGCGCTTCTAGGTGGCTGCTAAGGCATTCCCATGCGGTTTAGGAGAGGTTGCTAGAGCAATGCTATGAGATTACAGCTAGCTAGATGGATCAGTTAGAAAAATTTAAATGATTTGAAAAAAAATGTAAAAGATTTGAAGAGTAACAGAAAGAAAAAGAGAGACAAAGAGAAGGGATGTCAATGTGTTCTAAGTTTGGGTCACCCCATTTTCTGGCCCAGAAAGAGGCGCTGTAAATGGAGCAGTGTATAGGGAGGGGGGACAGGAATAGACCTGACAGATGAGAAAGAAAAGGAGGAAGAGCAGAGAACTAAATTTTGTCCTAGGACCAGGCAGGCTGTGCATGCATGTGCAGAATAAGGACAGGAGGAGACTCAAACTGGGTACAAGGTCTTTTGGAAGAGTATGGAGTTTATGCTGTAGTGTGATTTACAATACTGAACAGTTAGTCGGCTACAGCTTTGACAAACTAAAAGCTATTTATTTGGGGGCAGTCACCGAACTTAGCCCCGCCCACAACATTTGAGGATGGGAAGTTCGGTCTGGACTTGATCCGTTGAGAAGCAAGTATAACCAAAGCTGTTCGGACCAATCAAATTGTCCGGACGGGCTGTATACGATGATGGACAGATGATCAACCGTAATGTAATAATCCATGTCACCAAAGAGCGCTTGGGTTGAATTCGTTTACAACAAAGAATGGCTGCCACTGGAGAATTTAGATGTGTAGATTCAGCCATTGCGTCTGTTATAGATGTAGACAGCGCATTCATGTTAAAAAGAGGAACAGAGAACCGCGATCAAGGCAGTTGTCGATCCAATTGAGTGCAGAGGCATTTTCTTTCCTGGTTCGGTTGAAACTCACCCCATAATCGCAGCCCAATGGAGCAGTTTCAGACTCACATTCTGACTAGCATCTGAGTATGATGACGTAAGGCTAAGCAGTCATGGCCCAATGGTTAGAGTCAGACTGGAAATCTAAAGGTTGCTGGTTTGATTCTGAATTCTGGCAGGAAATGACTGGGGTGCCCTTGAGCAAGGCATCTAACCCCCAATAGCTCCCTGGGCGCCTCAGCAAAATTGGCTGGCTGGGTGTCCATTGTTTACAGTGTGTGTGTTCACAACTCACTACTTCTAATGTGTCTGCACTAACTTGGATGGGTTAAAAATATGTAAAATATTGAATTCTTTCATATCTCCCATCTCACTGTCCTGTTCAAAAAAGGAAATGCATCAACACAAGAAAAAGAGTAAGTGGTCTGAGTGCCTCAATGGAGATCTCATCGCTAGCCTGGGCAGTGTAGCGCTTGATGACGTGAGCAGCAGCGATGGCAGGGACGTTTAAAGACGCTTCTTCTTTCAGCAGAAACCTGTTGCCATGGTTGTCAATCTGCAATGATTATAAAAAACAATTAGTTGTGTTAATCGGAAAACTTCTGGTCGAAATCTCACTGCAAGATTCAGAGCGATGAAATTTACCTTCAACAAACAACACATACTGCCATGTTTTTACAAGGAAATATAAAATTAAAAAATTTGAGATTTGGTAAGAAAACTGGCAAGTAAAAATGACAAAATATTACAGAAATCTCCTGTTATATGTAAGTATTTGTAATTACAAACTTGTAAGAGTGATTTTCTTCTGTGGAATATTACAGAAAATATTGTGAGAGGATTTTTTTGTCAATACAATGGAGGTCAATGGCCTACTATAATGCTTAGTTGCCAAAATTCTTCAAAATATCTTATTTTGTATTTCACAGAAGAAAGAAACACAAATAGGTTTTGGAACGACATGAGGACAAGTGAATGATGATCATATTCATACTTTTAAATAAGTTTCTTCTGTATTTCAGTTCATATCTACTCTAATTGTATTTTATGTTTGCGGTCTTATCTCTGTTTGCCTCTCACCTCCATCCAGGAGAGAACCGGCCCACAGTTCAGCTTATTGTCCACAATCATTGAGAGGCGGTTAAGATACTCCGACAACAGTGGTGTGAAGATCTGCATGAATAACATGCATGTTCAAGCAGCAAATTCATTCAGTAGTCAAACACTATTCAAAGATATCACATAAGAAGATTGATTTAAAACAATGTTCCTGGTTCAATACAAGTTAAGATATATATATTAAAATATTTTCTCTTTTTGGGTCAGTAACATATTTTAATTTTTACTCAGCAAGGAAGCATTAAATTAGACAGTATATAAAGATATTTATAATGCTTCAAAAGATTTTTATTTAAAAATAATACTGTAAAATTTCTATTAATCAAATAATCCTCAAATATAAAAAAATATAAAAAATATCAAGCAGCATTTTCTAACTAATAACTATTTTCAACCTTGATTGAAATTATTTATGAAGGATCATGAAACACTAAAAATTGATTGGAGTAATATTTGCTGAAAATTCAGCTTTGCTATCACCAGAATAAATCACATTTCAAATTGTAATAATATTTCACAATATTACAGTTTTACTGTATTTATGATAAAAATTAAAGCAGCCTTGGTGAGAATTATTATATATATATATACTTTTTAAATCACAAAATCTTACCAACCCCAAACTATTGTATCTACTGGTAATTACAGATTAAATAGTCTCATGATACAGTACATGAAAGAAAAAGAAAAATAACAAAAATTGACATATGAAAGATAAATTGGTATATTTCCCAGCACTGTCCCTAAGGGTCCGGACACCAACCTACATAACTGTCCGACGACCTTAAAACTGAGCAGCGGTACAATATGCACTATGTTAAAGCAAGATAAGAAAAGCATTAGTATCCAGTGTAGTCAAGCTCACCTCCACCCGGTCTCCGATCTCGCAGAGGGCGGGCAGGACCAAGAGCTGTGAGTAACGGCGGTCGTAAATGCACTGATGCAGGTGGGCGTCCAGCGTCCGGAACTCTTCATACGAACGCCGTACCATCCACGTCTTACCCTAGATTTCAGAGAGGGAGACAGCGTAGGGGGATGAGAGGCAGAGAAAGAGAGAGAGAAAGAAGTCAACAAACAAAATGCCAGCAGAAGAGAGGAAGATGCTAAACAAAGTGTAGTGCACGGCCTTCGGTCACGTTCAATTCGATCAGGTGTGTTTTTATTTGAGGCTGTGGCAGGAGGGTCTGTATATTATTAGCACTGACTGAGGCATGTGCGCCCACTCACCTGGCAGGACACCTGCACAAGGAAAACCAGATCTTTGGCACTGCCCAAGGTCCAGCTGGCATCGCTCTGCTCGTTGGCAAACTGAAGCTGAAGGTGTAAAGAGCAGACATTAATTCATGAAGGTGTGAAGAAGTGCAGATAAACAAACGTTTAAAGGGAATGATCATGGTCTTGGATTGTTGTGCAAAACTAGAAATAACCAAGCAGTATGTTGCCACAACAACTAGTCGACTAGCATTGTATAATTTTGTGCACACCTGACCATCATCAGATAATGTTACATGGAGAAGGTGAATGTTTTTCATCAAGTGTGTACATCTCAGTGGGTGTTAATTCATCAAACACCCGGATCCCACTGTAATCTGAGTTTCCAGGGGGCAAGTCTGCATTTGATTGCACACTTTGAATGTAAGTTGAATGTAACAGCAAACATGTGTTAAATTGCTGTGAGTTTGTGACATCCCTATGTCTGCACGTCTGTCTGGAAAGATTACCCATTTAAACAGTGCTTCTCGTGTTTTATGAGATTTAGGTACTCTCTCAAACACATGATCATTTATGAGAAGCTGGGAACATCCCTTCATAATAATTCAGTCAACAAAATGCTGTTTCATATCCCTGAAGAATGTGCAAACTTCCTCATTGCTTTAAACAATGAGCATGATCAGTGAGACGGTCATTTTATTCAAAGGCACTTGTTCAAAAGTTTAGGGTCAGTAAATTTTTGCTTTAATTTTATTTATTTTTTGCTATGCTTTTATTCATCAAGGATGGATTAAATTGATTAAAAACACAGTAGAGACTTTTATCATGTTACAAAAATAATATTTCACAATAATCCTGTTTTTATTGTATTTTTTAACAAATAACTGCAGACTTGGTGAGCATAAGATACTTAAAACTAGAATTTACATTTCCAGAAGAAAATGTAAAGTGGTGCTTGCAGTGGCAAAACTCACCACCCGGTTGCTAGGGTGTGGCACATGATTGCATACGAGACACCAAACACGTCTGTACGATGTTCTGGTGCTGAGATATGTCTTATTCAGCTGAGATATGGCCATGTGTTCAGGTGGTTACTAGGGTACTGTATATGGTTGCTATGGTGTACTTATACAGTGTATGAGATGATATTTAAAGTCTAGACTAGTTGACAGTCTAAGTAAAAAAGAGCCAAACTCCATGTTTCTTCTATTTTCTGGAGCTGAGATATGGCTTGAACATGTTGTTTTATGGTTGCTAGGCTGCCCTAAGTGGTTGCTAGGACGTGAATAGGAAGTTATTATGTCACTTCTTGTTGGCTGCATGATAGGCCGAGGGAAAAGAGCCCAACCCCAAGTCTCTTCTGGTCAAAACATATGATCTCACAAATTTTGTGCCAATGTTAAGTCTGAAGTCTAAAAATGTTGAAGAAATGCATGTAAAATATATGAATCATTACTGTATTATTCATATACCATGGTATTACATGGAAGATAGTATAGCATGGTGAGAGTATGGTACATGGCCATTAAAATCATTTTGCAGTAGCACAGAGGAGAGGAGAGGCACTCTGCTTCACAGGGTCAGATCAAAAAAAAAACAATGTAACAAAAAACATTTTATTTTTCTCTTTACTTTAGGGGGTTTAAACACTAATGAGACGGACTCCCACTCCAGTCATGCTGTGCAGTCAGTGCGCTTCAGGTGCTCTCTCGTGTGTGTGTGTGTGTGTGTGTGTATACAGCTCTCTGCCATCATAAACACGAAATGGGTATATAAGCAGCACAAACAAAAAACAATGCCACAGGGACAGTGAAATGCATTTTTAAAATGGATGTCTATCATTTAATGTAAACCTTCAACTCATCACAGATTTTAGATTATAAATAAACCGGCAGTTTATATGAGAAGAGCCCTGACATACTGCAGTGTATCTGTGAAACAAATATAAGTAATTATTTCCCCTTTCCTTTCAGAGTACATTAACAGTGTGTGTGTGTGTGTGTGTGTTATTGAAGGTCACAAAGAGAGGCTGTATCAGCCCTGGAGATGTTTTGGCTGTATGCTGATATATGCTTGTTTCTTCTTAATAACTCTAAATGTCCAACTCTAACCAAGATGAAACCGGACAACTAAACGTGAATTACCAACACAAACAAAAAATAGACCTTTTAATATCTATTTCCATTGATGTTCTTACTGTTATTGTTCAAAATTCACTGATTCATCATGTTACATTTATTTATAATGTATTAGCTGAAACCACATTAAATAATCTTAATCAATAATATCATCGCTTAACATTTTTTCATTCACTGAAATTCCAATAAATCCAATTTTACTTTATGAATTTCACTCTTAAATACAGCACATTATGGTAGTATTAATGCTTTCATAGGCATTAATTGATTGTGCTCCTGACATGGCGTCTCTGAAATACCTTCTTTTAGACAAAATAATAATAATAATAATAAGCTGATGCTCTATGTATACTTTGGGCCTTCTTGACATTTAAGTAGAGAGCTAAGAAACCTCAGCTCAACAAGACAATATCTTACCTCGATAGAACCGAAGTCCACATTTTCATAGTGAAAGTGAGCACAGTCAATAAGCTTGGGGAAGTGACCTTTCACAACAGAAAGCCTGGAACCACAAGAAAACAAGCAAATGCGTTAACACACCATATACTTTCATCACAGAGTAGCAACAAGCTTAAAACCGTTTAACTTGTCTGGTTAATCAAATGAGTCATCATGACAAGTGGCACTGTAACTATTGTTCAGTCTTAGGATTTTCGCCAGGGAAACAAAACACAGAAAAATGCCACAGGCTTATCAATGCCCTGGTATTGGCACTGAGCTTTGCACAGGAACGTACTATGCACATTTTCTTCAGATCTAGTTTGTATTTTCAAGTTACAGAGAATGTAGAAACTCTCTCCAGGGCAGTTTTCAGTAAGGTACACATGAACACCACAGGGAAACTCTGCATCCCATTATCAGTTATTTTAGAGGGAAGTAAAACCAAGTTCTTCCTGTTTTACAGTGTGTTCAGAGCTGGACAAACCTGAACTCATCCTGACAGCAACACTTTGTTAACTAGTAAACTAAAATATAGTCTCTTTTGTGTCTAAACCTTTTAAGGCTGTTTTCCTCTTGAGGGTCAGGACTAATGGTGCGTTCACGGTTCACGTGCTATTCTAATTATGGTAAATACCAAAAGCCCTCATGTGGTATTTTCCACTGGGCAGCTCGTAGAATATTTTTTTTATTTTTTATTGTTACATTTTAATAATTTAGTAAATTATGTTTAATGAACTCAATTGATCAGACATCCTTTTTTGACCGTTAAAATTTAATTAAAAAATGTAAACCATGGCAATAGAATCCAGAAAATTAAAACGGTAAATAGAATTTGGGGGGAAAGAAAACTGATTTCATATGGTCCTATTTAATACCATTTGAACAACTCTGTTATCAAAGAGATGTGTCTGCACCAAACTCTAGTTTAAAAACACCCTAAATGACTTTACTGTTGAAGAGAGGTGTCGTTTTTCACCTTTTGCTCATCTTCCCCTTCAAGTTGGCAGTGGTGCCCACCGATCGGGTCCCAGGCTCCCCAGAACTGTCCAGATTATCAGTGCTCCGAGCCTGAAGAACGATGAAGGAGAACAGAAGAAACAGTTTTTATGCTCTGATGGGTTTACAATTCATGCTACATCACAAAGATCAAAGTCATCGCTGTTCTGAGAGCCAAAGAAATGAATCATCTGAAGGACAGTCAACAGAAAATAGATTACAAAAGCCTTAAATCAACAGTGATCATACAGTACAGAGGTAATTCTCAGAGGATTCAGGTCTCTTTAATTTAAATGTTCAAATCACACTGGGAAAGGCGCTAAGGGAGCAGCAAGCAGCTGGTGAAATGTGAAGCGACCCAGACAGTTAGTCTGCTGACCTCTGGTCTCATTTGCAATAAAAGCCAAGCATTTACAACACTTTTAAAATGGGTGATAAGTGTAGATTGGCATGGGGTTTTCAGTTCACACTGTTTATACATAGAACGTGGCCATTGGTGTGACGTGAGACAATTGGCCACTTTGAATCTCTATGCGAAATGAGTAGCATGTTTGGGATTTGGGACGGAGGTGACAAGAGCATCAAAAATATAAGAAAAGGTCACCATTAGGTGACGAGGTTGCAATGTCCACCATAAAGTGCTGGAGTTTCTGGAGGGTTTGAATACCATATGTATACATTTTAAATATATATTATTATTTTATTAATCCAATTCTGTATGTATACTTTGAGCCTTCAGAAATTAAAATAACAGAAACGGAAAGTAAAAATATATATATATATTATGTGCACACTGAAAGTCACTAAACAAAATGATTTAAATTATTTAAAAAAAAAAACATTTGAGTAGCTGTCACTCTTAGAAGAAAAGGTTCCTTAAAAGGTTCTATCAGCGCTACGTATTTGGAACCCATACGTTTGGAATTTTTTATTCTAAATTGTTTTATCTATTCTGATTTCTTTTGATTATTTTAATTTCTTCTATGTAAAGCACTTTGAATTACCATTGTGTATGAAATGTGCTATATAAATAAACTCGCCTAAAAGGATCTATACAGAACCCTTTTAAAGGGTTCAATAATAAGGAAAAAGGTTCTATATGGAACCTTTTGGGTTCATTCATTATCAATTGTTTTGTCCTTTTCGGATCAAATATTTCATATTATTGATCAAGACCCTAAAATGTATTTATGAATGCGTGTGAATGATCACAAAATTCAAGATATGAGGGTTAGAAAATGTATATTTATATCATTTTATGTAGTTAACCAATATCACACAAAGAGTGTCATTTCAGTTTTTCTATTCCAAAAAATGATTAAAATGTGATATTAAGTTACTACAACTGTTTAATAAACAATAATTTAATTACAACTACAAAATTTTGCAGAATAGTGTAATATATGAATGAATAATAGCCTTTAAAGAACCTTAGTGTCAAAAGGGTTCTTTCTTGTCATTATAGAACCTTTTTAGCATAAAAGGTTCTTTGGAGTTGAGTAAAGAACCCTATACTTCATATATAGAACCCTTTTTTCTAAGAGTGTATAGTTGTTTAGACATGATTTATTAAATTAACTCAAACAAGTTAGTTTAAATTAATGGAATGAACTTAAAATTTTCAAGTTCAATTTAACTAAACCAACACTAAATTATGATTGAATATGACTAAATATATATATATATATATATATATATATATATACATACATATATACATATACATATATATATATATATATATATATACACACACATATATATATATATATATATATATATATATATATATTAATAATATATATTTGTATTATGTTTTCAAACTTAAATGTTTTGAAGCAATTGGTCTCCTCAATCAGTTTGAGTTGAGTTAACTCCAGCATTACAATAGAGGTCTCTGGGCCTTAGAGCAAGAGCTGAATACACACCGGATGTTTCCTCCCTTATTAGAGCTTTTTATGCGTGTCCTTGATGAATCAAAGCCCTGGCGAATTATGGCTCAGTCATGCAGATTAGTTCTGATAACAGCAGACCTGTCAGGATGACTGTTTGAGTTTCATCCACTTGACAGGCAGTTTCGATGGAAACATTGCTAGGGGAGCATTTGGTTGCGAGACAGCACTTCCCTGATCCCCTCGGGGAAGAACAGATCCCTGCAGTCTTCCATTAGGTTTACACAACACCAAATAGTCACGGATGAGTTCAAGCACAGGAATGAGGGACGACAAGAGTGGATTTGTCAACCGTTTCATCCAATGCAATCTTGTTTACTTCCCGCAAAAAGAGTTGCGAATTATGATAGGCCAGCTTGATTGGTAAGCTGATCATTCTAGAGGGCGATGATCAGATTGATGTACTGTAAGCTTTGTGCATGTGGCCGTACAGGAGAAAGGAGATGCTGGGCACTTGTGTCACACTTACCTTTATTGCTAGCTGCTCCCCCCTGGGCAAGAAACCTTTAGAGATGGTCAGTGGTGCATAAGCAAATTTAGGTTATTAAGGGTTTAACCTATACTGTATAGTTAAGCAAGTAGATGTGTGTGTGTAAAAAATCTGACTTATCTATTCCCATATAATCTTATTGTTAATAATAAACCCCTGAGTATGTGTGCTTACTTCTTTAACTATGCTGCAAAAAGCAAAAGCACTGATGCCCTGTAAACAAATATTGTTAGGATTTGCATGCTGCATCTCTTATAGAGGAAACAAGGAAGCAAAGCTGAAAACACTGATACAATCACTTCTGTCAACCTTTCCCTGACTGCAAGCCCACACAGCTCCTGGTAGCTTGCAAATAATATTGCGTTTACTTAACAAAAACTAGACCTGAAAACATATTTTGTTACTTTAAAAACAAAAGTGATCCGAAGCTATAAATGTTCACTAACAACTCAAAATGACAGAGAAAATGATCTTATATAATAAAATAGCAGTTTAAAAAAAAAAAAAAAATACAAAGTAATAACTATTTATCAACAGGTAATGCCGAGTTCACACCGTTTGATATGTTTGATATAATTGTAAATATATCTATTAAAATACTGATATTGTGGCCTATAACTCCTCCTCGAACTACCGCTGGCCTGTATCTTGCTCTCTCATTGGCTGTCGGTAATCGCCGATGTAGTTTGTTCAGTCAGAAAACGTTTTACACAGCAGGATTTTGAATCGCCGACAGGTCCAGATATTTAACATAGCAAATATCTTACAAGCGTCTGCAACTCTTTGGCGATTCGCTCAGATCGCGTCTTTAATCATTCACACCACGTGATTGTCACTTGGTTAATGAGCACCGATTTGTCTATGATTTCGGACATTTGTCGGCGATCTCCCAAAACCTGTCGGCGAGCAAAAATCGGGCCTAAAATCGTTCACTGTGAACTCGGCATATCGCTAACTAAAACAAAACAGAAATTTAAAAATTCAATCCAAAATAAAAACATAATAATAATATAATAAATACTAATTTATTTAGTTTTAACAGGCGATTATTTTTTTTTTTTTTTTTTTAGGCCATTTTCTAATAAAATACAAAAAACAAAAACAAATTTATGAATAATTGAAACCAAATTCAAAAAAAAAAAAAAAACCCCAGAAAATAATTCAAAATACAAAATGGTGAAACAAACTAATACTAGTTCTTGAATTTAAATAAATAAATAAAAACACTAAAATAAAATTTGCCATTTTCTAATTATACAAAAAAACTAAAATAAAACCAATAGAACCAATAGAATAAATATTTATGAATAGTTTTTTTTAAATGCAATTCAAAATAAAAACTAGAGAAACTAAATCTAGTACTGAAACTTAAACACTAGTAATTAAATGGATATTAAACTAAAATTGTCTTTTGCAATGATATAAACAAAATAAAAACAATTTAGGTAGAATTATATCTAAAAGAAACTGAAATTGAAAATAATATAAAGGTATTGTTTTAAAAAAAAAATTTAATAGCCCTGCTCCATATGATTAAAAATAAAATGTTGGTTCCGACCCAACCTCCTCCCATCTCCCCACCTTTGGACTGAGCACACATTCCTCAATCTGACGAGAGCTCGGTCTTCACAGCACATGGCTTGAGATGTCGGCCAAATCAGCAACAGTGAAAAGAGCTGCCTGCCATCGTCTATACATCAGTGGAAATATATTGTACACTTCCACTGCTGTGCACAGCCCTGTCTGAAGAGGTTAACTGGAGTCACACTGATTGTGTGTCAGTCATTATTACACAAAGATGCACACCACGTTTCCTCTCGGTCCCTAAATGACAGAAGGATTTTCAAAATAGTGATTAAAAATGCTGCTTTTGCTCCAGGAATGTTTCTCCGCTATCATGTATCTTGCTTATATAACTGACAACATTCACTGCCGAAATAACTTGTTCCATCGCCTTAATATGAATAAAATATTGATATAAATCAAAATTGACCCCATTTACAGTATTAATAAATATCCCAGGTCTTATTGAAAATGATTCATCAAACTTTCATGAAAATATAAATGTGTTTCTCCAACTGAAATGACTTTCAGCTAACGTTAAGGATTGGGAAACTAAATCAGAATTTTGAATATAGACTGAAGGAAAATATGAATGATGCTTGTCAGGGAAGTTGCAATGCGGTTGCTAGGTTGTACTGGATGGTTGCTTGGCCCAAGACTCAAATGTAATTTTAGCCTCTAGATATGGTTTAGGGTTCGTCGAATCCCCAACCATGAGGGTAGGCAATAGTCATGGTGATGCTTGGCTAGGTTTCACTCAGAACTACGCCACATCACAGAAGCTAAATTTGTTGTGAATGCCATTCAATCAAGTTGTCTTTAAAGGTTTGGTCTAACATGCAAAGAGCAAACATAAAAGTACATTACCGCTGAACAGTTTGGGGTCAGAACAATTTTTAAAAAGAAATTAAAAGTTTTATTCAGCAAGGATGCATTAAATTGATCAAGAGTGACAGTAACGCCATTTAGTTACAATAGATTTCGGTTTCAAATAAATGCTGCTCTTTTCAACTTTATATTCACCAAAAAAAGTCCTGATGAATCAAGGTTTTCACAAAAATATTAAC